GAATTCTTTGAAGGAAATGAGTCATTGTTCAACAATGAACATTAATACAGAGATAATAGTCTACATGTGATCACAGTGATCAATTGACCCTTCTGAATCATTATACATTTTAAACCACAATTTTCTTCTTAGATTGAAGCAAAAATCCTTCAATTTAAAGCACCTTCTACCTATATTCAACTTGAATATATGTTAGTGAATAAGAGGTGATTTTTTTCATTTTACCCTTCAAATGCCTAAAAATAATAATCTTTTTCAGCTGAAACAAAGATGTAATTTTAATATCTGAGAATACAGTACAGTCAACCCTTGGTTAACGTTCTGTTTGCTGAATGTTTTTTCACTTAATGTTCCTGGTCCTGTGAGAAAAATCCCCTTGCTTAACGTTCTGAAATCCGCTTAACATTCTGCAGTTGTGCGGCACCAGGTGATCAATGTGGATGCCTCCCTCCTGTACATTTTCTTGAATGTGACTTTTTCCACAGCTTTAAATGTGTTTCCTGTGTGGTAGTGTGGTGTTACAATTATTTTATGAACAATTGCAGTGTCACACACTGAATTTTGGGTAACACTTGGACCTTTCCATGTTTAAAATGAATCTCTGATTTTAATTGAGTGAATAACTGTGGTTACTTTTTGAATGTAATGGCAGTGCGTAAAGCTCAGTTGTTGGAATACACTCTTTGATTAATTTTTTTCTGAATTTTACCCTTTGGAAGATTTTGCCTGACACCAATTAAACGTTTTTCCCTTATATCTTAAGGGAGAGACTACCTTGCTCAACATTTTTTTCAGCTAACGTTTTTTCCCGCTGCACCAACTAAAAACCTTAAGCAAGGGTTGACTGTACTGTAATTACCCTTCTTGAAATTGACAAATTGCTGGGAATTAATTGTTCTATTGATGATACTTCTGTAAAACAGTACTTTTTTTCTTTGACTGAGAATTTCAATCTTGTTCCTTGATTCCAAAAATACTGGAATATTCTGCCCACAATGCCCTTGTAAACACAAATATTTTTTAAAAATATTATGCTAAGCTCACTTTAGTAAACTTCATCATAATTATTGTGTAGATATGTTGCAAGCTTTGTTTTCTTCCTTATTTTTTTTTGAGTAATGTGTCTGGTGTAATACTTGAGTACAGTACTGCATTATTGACATGTCATCAAGTGGTAGGATATGGGACTGGTATGGTAACTAAAGTACACAGAGTTATTAAAATGCAAACCTTTCTCAAATAAAAATCCCCAAGATTTATTCATTCCAGATAGTAAAAGTCCAACAAGCAACAGAACAAGAAATCCTTCCCCTCTGTTCTTTCATGGAAAATAAAAGTCATGTATATTGCACATACAAAGGTAACCTTGCTTTTTGATATAAAAAAAAAGAGGAAGGAAAGCTGCGTCATCATAGTCACCGCGAGGTCGACATGAATGAGCAAAAAAGAAAATGAAAACGCAGATGTTTTTTGAATCTTTTTTGGCGAACTTGCGAATCTCTCACCTTGGAACAATGACGTGTGACCTGACTTGCGCAAACAGCAAACAAAATCCTCATGTCACCACAGAATGTGTATTCCTGACGTCACTTCGGATGACCTTTCAGAAATGAAGCAACGGTTTCAAGGCTTCCCGACCTGGAATTATTGTTTGGAATATAAATCGTCATCAGGAAGATTGATACAAAAGAACCAAAAAATTCTCATTGAGTTTAATCAAAACAGAGCAAAAAAAAGGAACAAACACGAGCATTCTGGGCATTACCTTGAATTGTTGTGCTTGTCCTTGATCTTATGGTGCATGTCTTTTTTTTTCTATATGCAAGCATGCAAAGCATTGAAGAACATCATTACTTATATGTTCTGACCAAAACTTCCTTGGCATAACTTCAAAATTTGAGTCATTTTGCTCCTTGATTTTCTGTGTGCCCATGTATGCTATTTCATGAAGGAGCACATGCATAAAAGAGTATTTACAAGGGGCCTAACAAAAGTTTTCAGAATATAAATTAAAATGGCGTATAATTGAAAACATATTGTTTGGCAGAAGAAAAATGTTCTGAATGTTTTGCAAGTCACCCTGACAGAGTTCTGCTCTCCACTCAAAAGATGAGGCGCCCTTCCTGCAGATTTTGTTGTAGCCCAGCTTTCCCCTAAATTCTTGAAATTAATGTGGCATTAATTCCAAGGGTTGCCTCCAGGTCTTCCAAGGTAACTCTGCCATTTTCATCAACAGCCACCAATTGGGACAGGAATGTATCAAACAGGGCTGTTTTTTTCTTGTGCCAAAGAATATGTTGTCCCTAATGATTAATTGTTTTACAGCTCAATTATATGCCATTTTCAAATCAATTACATGAACTTTTGTTAGACCCCTTGTACAGTGCAATGTACTGTATATACAGGTGGACTCTCTCTGCAATTAAACTCAAGGGCTTTATCCTAAAATTTTAGTGTTCCAAAGAACATGTTGTTGTAGAGAACCTCTATAACATGGGGAGAAAACCTTTTAGAACCAAAGAACATTTGTTATACAGCAGAGAAAATTGTTGTAGAGAGAGTTCACCTATGATAGCTTGACCAAATCTTCAGCAACTCAATCTCACTACAGGTGGACTTTTTCTACAATAATCAATGATCTTGTGTAAAATGAAATTCTCTACAAACTTATCCTGAGTACTTTAATGGTGTTTTAGGGAAAGTCCACCTATATTAGAGGAAGATATAATTCTTGCTTTTTAGCCTTGAAACACTTGAACATCACAGAGAAGGAATTATTTTACTCCTCAAGCTTGCTCTTTTGTGGAGGAACAAAGGAGCGAGTATGAAAAAATCATACTCAAACATTTCAATGAAGCTGAGATTTATTCAAATATATCAATATGAGTTATAAGTACAGTATTTTGTTTGGAAGCTTGCTCTTTCATGAAATTGCACATTTGTAAAATAATATTTTTTCCATGATATTGTCTTAGTAATTATACTTAATGAATCTAAATTATCCTTGCTGATTTCAGACTTGCTCTTAGATGAAGGATCAAATTTTAAAACAGCAAACTAAGGTTGCAGAATCACGTGATTGAAAAATCTCAATAACTTGAATTAAAGTTTAAATATTTCTGTCTTACTACTGTACTCTCTATTTAAGCTTTTTCAGGAAAGAACAAGTAAATCCACGGTTCAGCCATCACTTCTTCGTGCTCATGCTATGCTGCTGTTTTCTAAATGTGCTCTTCTGATGAATGCGAATCTCTACAGGGTGCCTGTAAAAAAAACAATTGGGAAAGCAGGATTCCAAAGCAATGCGACAAACAATTTTAATAACCACCCGCAAGTGTATACATCCGTTGCACCATGCAAGTACGACAAGAGAACAAAACACATGCAATGTGCTCACACACACAAAAAAAAAAACAGGTAGAAAAACAAACCACCCGAAATACCGGGATGAACGTGTCCAAACAGTGGTGAAAAAATATTTTTCCGGCGGTGTTTTTCAATCTTGAACTTGAAAATAAATTCACTGGTTAGAGAAAAAACAGACATTAAAATCCACATATTTTCTTTGTTGAGAAGCTTAATTTCACCCAGAGATTTCCGAATGCCACAGTTCGAGACAACAGCAACAACAACAAATTCAATGCCTCGGCAGAAGAAAAAAATTTAGTCAAAGAATCAAGCACAAAATCGGTCTGCATTTAAAATTAAATTTCCTCACATAATGCATTAAAAATCAAGGTACGGTATCTCGGAAATTTCGCTCAAAAAGTTTCAAAACCAGAAGGATGCAAAATAATTTCATCTTTTTAAAACATACTTTTTCTTACATTTGAGCCCAAATTTGAAAACTTATTGTAACAAACCACCAATTCAAACGGATTCTCAAGTTTGCCAAGATGATTTTGATACCAATGTCCACACATAACATAGAAAAAAATAAAAAGTTCTTCACATACACAAACCATTCCCAATCGCTTTTTGATACAAACATTTTTTCAATTTCCTTAAAGCTAAAGAAGAGGGATTTGTTAAAAATTTTCAATAAGTGGCCCAAAAATTAATGAACCATGTGTATTTTCAACAACATTTCATCAAGCACAGTGTACTGAAATGATGAAGACCAAAACAAGGACTCAGTTCCATTCAAAGTGAAAATTGAATTTGGAAAGCAGAAGTTCAGGACTGTACAACCATGTCCATTTGGAATAAGCAAATCAGAGAAGAAAAATTTCCAAGTGAATTCTCATTCAAAATTGATGGTCTTATTCATTACTTCAAATTGAAAAATTAAATGAATTTAGAGCATTTCTTTCTGAAAAGGCTGCTAAATTTTAATCTTGCCATTTGGACCTTTTTTTGTCCCTAGAATAATAATAGTCAAAAAGCCACCAGAAATTCGAGTTATTGAGGGAGAAAGCCTTTCAGTTAAGGAAGTCTATAATACATTATTCTCACGGGATTTCAGACAGGGACGGAACAAAAATTTGACACAGGTGAGTTTGATTCAGCATGGCACAACTGTACAGTACAAAAAAGTATTGTTTGCAACAACTTCATTTCTTGAGTCCCTATCCAATAGCCACAATAACGTAATTTGAATTTATCTGGACCAAATTTTTGTTTCACCACAAAGCTTGTATCTGAGTCCCAGTGACTTTGTTCTGCCTACATTTCAAGAGGCAATTCAACTGTTGCATATTACAACCATCCTCAAGTCATTTACACATTGAGAAGAAACTTCAAACATTTAGAGTGAGACCCCCACTACCAGACACCTTGACCTGTGGACAATTTGGCATTAGGACACTTATTTTCCCAAAAAAATAAATTAGTAAAAAGGCCCAACCTGAGGACACTGACTCAACATAGGGACATTTTGTGATAAAATTTCAAATAAGTTTCAGGCAAAATGACAAGGAACAGATATTTCCAACCCTAAAATTGATTCAAGAAAAGTTCTTGGGCATTTCTCTCAGGAATTCACCATCAATTTAGCTAATTTAAAATAATTACCTCCAGTATAGAAGGAATTCCTTCTCTCTTTTTCACTTGAATGTTATTTTTTTTACAGAGAATGCCAAAATTTCTATGTACTGTACACAGGTATCAGTTTTCAATTCCCCAAATGTTCATATTGTGTTGAATTATATTGATTGAATCATTTTCAAGTGGGAGACAATTTTTATTTTCATGGAATTATGGTGAGTAATTTGCGCATAAAACACCAATTAAAAATTATACAATGTAAGTCTAAAGGAAAATGAGACTCAACTTGGGGATACTCTTGATGCACAAATTACATCTGCATCTTGGGGTCTCACTGTATTAGAAAAATAAATAGCCAGGAAATGTAATTTTCGTCCTTGTTGTTTTTAATTGCTGCGTTCATTTAAAGCCATTGAAAGGGGATTTGTTACCGTTGCGACTTGGCCTACCAATCGTGTGCACGTTGAAGCCGATGTCGTCGAGCTTCTCGTGGTCGAGAAACTTGCGGCCGTCGAACAAAAACGCAGGCTTCAGCATTGTCTCGTAGATGCGGAGGAAATCCAGGCTCTTGAACAGGTCCCATTCCGTGCAGACGACGAGTCCGTGACACCCGTTCACTGCGTCGTACACGTCGTCGTGGATCGTCACGTTGCACCATTTCGGCGAGGACTTCAAGTCGGCTTCAATGACTCTTCCGGGAACCTTTTCGCAAAAAAAAAAAGAACAAACCAGTATGCAATCATTTAATCAATCCACTCTTTCAGTCAGACGGGAAAAGGAAACTCCATGCAACAGAAAAAAAACTCATTCGCGCATGCAAAATTTGGCAGAAAAAATATTTTCGCATGCAGTCAAATGTATTAAGGAAAACGGCAAACAAATTTTCGAGCTTGGGAGGTTTTGGGTGAGGGCATTTTTGCCTGGGAATAGAAAACAAAAGAAAATAATTTCAGGAACTTACAATTGGTGATATTCTGGGCCTTGAAGTGCTCTTTTTTTTTAATTAGTCGACAGGATGCTGAACTTGGAGGCAAGGGTTTATTTCCCTAATTAGTCTTTCACTTCCTTTCAAAACACATCAAGTTAACATTAGTATTGCTTCTTTTTTCTGCATCAATAAAATAATAGCCATATGCATCCAGAAAATTTGTTGTAATGAGGATTGAGGGGAGATATTTTCCTTACAACAATATCAATTATTCAGTGAGACCCTGAGATGTGGACGTAATTGGTGCATCAAGAGTGTCCCCAAGTCAAGTCTCATTTTCCCTTAGACTTACATTACATAATTTATAATTGGTGTTTTATGCACAAAATACTCCCCATAATTCCATGAAAATAAAAAATTGTCTCCCAATTTAAACTTATTCAATCAATATATTTCAATATATTGATTACAATATATTACATGTAGATGTTGGCATTCTCTGTAAAAAATAACATCCAAGTGAAAAAGAGAGAAGGGAGTCCCTCTATGCTGGACGTAATTATTTTAAATTAGCTGAATTGATGATAAATTGGTGAGAAAATGCCCAAGAACTTTTCTTACATCAATTTTAGGGTTGGAAATATCTGTTTCTTGTAATTTGGCCTGAAATGTATTTGCAATTTCATCACAAAATGTCTGCATGTTGAGTGAGTGTCCTCATGTTGGGCCTTTTTCATTAATTTTTTAATAGGAAAAGATGTGTCCCTATGTTGAATTGTCTGCAGTTCAAGGTGTCCACCTGTGGGGGTCTCACTGTAATTTTCCTTACAATGAATTATTCTGAAAATCATTTCTGTATTGGTGCACTTTTTTTTTTCTTGCCTTGTTCAAACAAATTTTTGACAAAGAGTTTTCTATCAGGTCTTGGAAACTTCTTATAACAAGGTTATAAAAGTACCGTACATTCCTTCAATCAAATAAAAAAGGAAGAAAGCCGACTGGAAATACTGTACAAAAAGAGCTTCGAAACTTTGATCCAACTTCGTATTTGCAGAAATTTCCAAGAAAATTCCAGTACTGTACTTCTCGCACCAGAAAGATTTATTTGAAAACCAGTTCTATTCTCAAGGGAAATTGACGTCATGGAAAAAACCAGCAAGTACAGTATTTTTTTGCGTCCACATTTGACGGACCAAAAGATAAGCCAACTCGTCAATATTCAGCAGTTTCCGCTGGGAAACACTCGTCTGGCGATGATTTTTTGTTCATGGGTCTTTTTATTGAATGATCGGGAAACATTGAATAAATTCGAGCCATTTAAGTGCACATTAGAATTCGGATGCGCTGCCATTTCATGTTGTGAAAGGTTTATTTTTACGAACTATAGAATGGTTTCACGAACGACGTCACTATTCTTTTTGTCACTTGAATTTTCTGAATCCTCGTGCAATCCACGTTTCGGTATAGAAATTTTGATCACAACTTGAGTCTTCTCCCGGCACAAAATTCAGAAAGTAAATTGATGAAAAAAAACTCACCTTCGGATCGTAGATCTGAAGTTTCGCGCCTTCCTCCAGCAGAAACTTGGCCACACAAATGGCCGGAGACTCCCTAGTGTCTCCAGTATCTTTCTTGAAGGCGAATCCCAAAAGCGCGATCTTTTTATCGGCCACAGTATTGAACATAGCCGTGACGACGCGATTCGTGAACCGCCTCTTCTGATGATCGTTCATAGTGACAACTGATCGCCAGTAATCGGCCACTTCCCCCAGATTCAGAGTCTCGCAAATGTACACGAGGTTCAAAATGTCCTTTTGGAAACAACTGCCGCCGAAACCAACAGACGCCTGAAGGAATTTCGGTCCGATCCTTGAATCCATTCCGATGGCTTGAGACACCTCGCTCACATCTGCTCCCGTGGACTCGCACAATGCACTGATTGCGTTTATGCTGGATATTCTTTGGGCTAGGAATGCATTAGCAGCCTGAAAAAAAAAAAGGTAACCTTTTCTGTTTGGAATAGTGACAGAAGAATGTCTTAAATTTGTTTGATTAGTGTAATGTTATAATGGGGATACAAAAAGATTTCTTACAAGTTTTGAAAGCTCAGAAGACCATGTTCTCATGGTGATGATTTTTTCCTTTGGTACCCATTGCAAGTAAATCGATTCCAGAGCTGCGATGGCTTGAAGCCCTTCCTCACTTTCCTTCTTCCCACCAATCAGCACTCTATCAGGGTTAAGAAGATCTCTGACTGCAGTTCCTTCGGCTAAAAATTCAGGATTCGAAAGCACCTGGAGTGAAGAAGAGAAGTGTTATGTTGAAATCCGGGGTGTAGTTCAGAAAAAGAAAATATTTTTGACTCACTTGAAAGCTGGACTCTTCGGTTTTGTTTGCTTGCAGAATGATTTCCAAAGATTCAGCTGCTCTCACAGGAACAGTACTTTTCTCAACAACCACCTTGTGTCCAGAGGTTGTGACCCTGGCAATGGCTCGTGCACAGCTTTCTACATGTTTCAAGTCAGCAGCTAGTCCCTGGGAAACCCGGTATAATTTTAAACCATTCGACAGTGCATAAACTTTTCAAATTACTGTACCTTGGATATTCCGTAGTCTTTCGTCGGCGTATTGACAGAAATAAAAATCAAGTCTGCGTTTTTAATGGCATCGTCCACATTCGTATCAAAAAATAGGTTCTTCCCTCGACAACTAGAGACGACTTCATCAAGACCGGGCTGCGAATCATGACTACGATTAGTAATTCGAACTTATGCGCGTGAAACATGCTTTGAAGTACCTCATAAATGGGGAGAATGTCGGAGTTCCATGCAGCAATACGCTCCGCATTCAGATCTACGACGCGGAATTTTATATTCGGGCACATCTTTGCCATTACACTGCAAGTTGGGCCACCAACGTAACCCGCTCCAATGCAGGCAACATTTTTTATCTCCAACATATCTGTCATTGATTTATTTTTTCTCGAGTTAGGTCCAGAAATTTTACTCGAAAAAATAGGGAATACGTTCGAGCCGAGGAACGCTGCAGTTCTGCGGCGCGAACGTTTCTCCTCCAGGCTTTATATCCTGCCTTATTCTGTCTATCACTTGAATCAGTCGGCCCGCGTAGAGCACGTCATTCATGATTTGCCAACACGTTGACCCGCGCGCAGAGCCCGGTATCTGGCATGCTTTTTCACGGTCAGGACACAGCATGAGCATCATTTGTGTTCAGTTGGAATCCTGTGTAGAGCTATGAAATTATCAAAGAGCATGTCTTTGTTTTGCAAGTGATCTACCTCAAGCCAGGCTGCTGCATGATTTTTTGATTGTTGTTGAAACATGATTTATAATTGATCCTAAATTGCCATAAAACTCTCGGATCGTACAATTTTGGATTCAAAATCACAACTCCATGATGTGAACAGCTTATCTTCCATGAGTTTCAAAATCCTGGTTTACCTGGCAGTCTGCCAGGCGATATTAAAATACTGTACTGCGCTAGTTCGTCTGTCTAGCATGCGTACGCTGACGAAGTATAGAAAGTTCCTAGAAGTTGACGTGAGTCGGTTTACTGTATTTCGAATCGGAGTGGTTGTCAGATGACCTTGTGATCATTTCCAATCTTGTGTTGTTTGTGAAGAGGATTTTCTGATGCGGTTTTTCGTGCCACAGTTTTTTCTGGCGTTTCTCGCGTGCATTCGTTGACCAATGCCACGCCATCGTGTTTGTATGTGGTATCCCGTTTAATTCATTAAATACTTCGAGACATGCCCCGAAGTTTTCAAATGATAACGTACTTGTATTCCGCAGATGTCCTAGTTTTGTTTAATGAATTTTCTTGAGAAAATCGTGCCGTGAAAGGAAATGAATCCTTATGGTTCCGTGGATGGTCATAGAACGCTTGGCAATCCTGGTGTGGGTCAAGCGCCACCAACAATAACTCACAGCTTCCAGCCGTTGCAGCCCGTTGGATCACCCACCAGGTTACCCGACGTTGTTCAACCTCCAATGCCTCCGACTCCGTCTTTTCGTCCGCCACAGCCGCAAGTTGTGCAGCAAGTAAGTTATCTTCACAATTGAAACATTCTCGCGAGGGCTGAATACCGTTAAGTCTTTCGATGGTGAAGACTTAAAGCATCTTGGATCACCCTTGGAAACATACGTTTTCTCATGATTGTCTTAACTCGAATCAAGGCTGTTTTAATCCTATTTTCACGGTTTAGAAATACTCCCTAAATATTTACTGTCCAGGCATGGCGCTTCATTCCAACGACGCATCTGGAATTCTTCGTGTCTTTTCAAGTGCTGAAAACACCCAAGATGTATTTTGCGTGAAAAGTATTTTGCCTCGGGTTAAGCGACGTCTTTCTAGTTTTTGAGAAGTTGTTTCTCTCTCTAACTGAATCCGTCAAAAGGTTACATAAGAGATGCGGATTAAGCACCCAGATTCTAATTCCTGCGCATTTTTTAGTTGATTATCGGGTGAAAGGAATTATTGAACTTCAAAAAATTTCATCGAAAAGATCGATCGTCAGAAGACATCATGCAGTTCACGGGCGAATATGAGTTGCTCTGATTGGTAAACCCCAATTATTGCAAGACTCGCTTCGATTCATTTTAAATCAGTCGCGAGTGAATATGGCAATTAAACTGGCATCGGGACGAAGTTCGGTATGGCATGTAGATTTTCTTTTCGGCTAAATGGCTGCAATTAGACGTCACACATCGTGAAAATATTTCGTTCTTTCGAATTCATTTTTGACTGTGACTTCGAACGTGGTGTTGCATCGAGTGCTTCGATTTATTAAAAAAGAATGTTTTTCCCGTAGGGACCTCCGGTGGGCCTGTACCCGGGGACCCAAGGACCACAGCCATCGTATCCGAGTCCTGTTTCCGGTCCACCGTTCCCCGGATATGGACAAAATGCCCCTCAGGCGATGGCCCCTCAACAATACCCACCACAGCAGCAGCCTCTCTATGGATCATACCCTACAGATGCACCCGTGCAAGCAAGTACCATCAACCCAATGCAACCACAACAACCACGACAAGGCTATTGGGGAGATGTTAATCAATTGTCCCAGGGAATGGCTGGGATGAGTGTGAACCAGGGTTTCAATGCTGGTTGGGTACGTCGTTTTCGTTTGGTTGTTTGCGTACAGTAATCATGATTTTAACTCTTTTTTCTTCTTTTGCAGGGCGTCGCGCCGATTGACCTCCTCCAGAATCGCCATATCATACCGCCAAATCCGGTTATCGAGCCTCCGAAAATTACCTTGCAGAACGAGTATTGGAGCAGTGTGAACTGCGAGTCGGATATATTTAGGTGTACGATGACGAAAATTCCAGAAACGTCGGGATTGCTGCAGAAGTGTCGACTGCCTCTGGGCATCCTCATCCACCCGTTCAAGGATCTCCCAGTAAGCGTCAGTATTTCGAATTTCAGAAAAATTTAAGTGGCCTAGTGTGTGTCTTTGGGCAGCTATCGTTGATTTTGGGTGAATTTCGAGAGGGATTTTCTGCCTATTTCATTCATGTGCGGAAAATATAATTTATTCCGTTGAAGAAGTGAGCTAATGGTCCAAAATAACTCCTTTTCTGACTGTTCCATCTTTGTATCAATTTAAACTTTCGATCAAAGAAAGAAACGGTATATGAATGTGTTGAAAAATCGACATTGAGCGTAAAGTCGTTCCTGATTTTTGTCTATATCGTTAATTTACGATATCTTGAATTTTGATTTATAAAAATTTGAAGGATCTACAGGGTGAGATTATTTAGAGAAGTTAAGCAAAATTCAGGAGACCATAAAAAATTCTGTTGTGGAGGAAGTCTACCTGCATGCATTATTTTGTAGTAACAATGAATGCTCGGGGAAAAAGTTCGGAAATCCTGAATTGTTTGCCTACTATGCTTGAAGATTAGAATTTCGAATGTCATTTGCTCAGTTTTCCAGTGAGGTAGTCGACCATTCGAAATTATCTCGAATTTCATTTCATTCACAAATAAGGTTTATTTTTCTAGGTACGAATAAGAAACGTTTAATCTAGGCCTTGGGTATACGCGATATTCTCGTAACAAATATATTTTACTGCTAAATTCTTCAAGCTACTCATTTTGATTGTGCTTGCAGATTTCCCATATTCACTCAAGTAAGGCGCAAACCTTGATTTTTCAGCCTAAAAAAAATTATATCCTAAAGTCAGACGCCCACCCCGTTTCAAAAGACTGAAAATTTGAAGGGGAAAAAGCATAAGAATTTCAATATATATACTCTACATAACGTTTTAATTTATAGTCGCCTGAGCATGCTTTTTACGATAGTTCACATGTATTAGAGGTGAAATAGTTCGGTGATGACTTTTTCTTTTTTCATTTCTAGCGTTTGCCAGTGGTCCAGTGCAATACGATTGTCCGTTGCCGAGCATGCAGAACCTACATCAACCCATTCGTCCACTTCATCGATAAACGCCGCTGGAAATGCAACCTCTGTTTCCGCTCCAACGACGTCCCCGACGAATTCCTCTTTGACCCGAAAAGCAGTACCTACGGCGACCCAGGCCGCCGCCCCGAGCTCCAATCCGCCACCATAGAATTCATCGCTCCTTCGGAATACATGCTCCGACCGCCGCAACCCGCCGCCTACGTATTCCTCCTCGACGTGTCCTGGAACGCCGTACAATCTGGCTATTTGAAAATCGTGTGTGACACGTTGCTCGCGCATTTGCCCGACCGTTTACCCGGGGACTCGAGAACTTTGGTGTCATTTATCGCTTTCAATTCCGCTCTGCATTTCTTCGCGTTGTCGCCGGAGTGTTCGCGTCCGAAGTTGATGACTGTGAAGGACGTGGACGACGTTTTCTTGCCGACCCCGGACACGTTGCTAGTGAACCTCGCGGAGATTGGCTCGTGTGTCGAGGATCTTTTGACTCAGTTGCCGATGATGTTCAACGAACCGGATGCGGGAAATGCTTTGGGAGCTGCGTTGCAGGCTGCGCACAAACTCCTTGGTCCCATCGGAGGACGTGTGACAGTGTTTCAAACCCAATTGCCGGATGTGGGGCCGGGTGCGTTGAAATCCCGCGAAGACCCGAACCAGCGAGCCGGGAAGGACGTGCACAACCTGAACCCCGCGACGGATTTCTATAAAAAGTTAGCTTTGGATTGCTCTGCGCAACAGATTTGCGTGGACTTATGGCTCCTGAGCGGGCAATACGCCGACTTGGCAACTCTCAGTGGAATTTCCAAGTTCTCCGGTGGCTGTATTCATTATATACCCGGTTTTCACGTGACGAGATTTCCCCTGAGTGGTGAAAAGTTGGAGGCGGAGTTGGGGCGGTATTTGAGTCGGAAGATCGGCTTCGAAGCCGTGATGCGAGTCCGGTGCACCAGAGGCCTGGCTGTGCACACTTTCCACGGGAATTTCTTCGTGCGATCCACGGATTTGCTTTCGTTGCCCAACGTGAACCCGGACGCGGGGTTCGGAATGCAGGTTGTGATCGAAGAAGCGTTGACCGGTGTCCAGAACGCGTGTTTCCAAGCCGCAGTGTTGTACACGTCTAGTAAAGGCGAGCGGAGGATCCGAGTGCACACGCTTTGCTTGCCAGTGAGTGGGTCTTTGCCGCAGTTGTTGCACAGTGTGGACCAGGAGGCCGTGGTTGGGCTCCTGGCGAAAATGGCGGTGGATCGGACTGTGACGGCGTCGTTGACGGACGCCAGGGAAGCCTTTGTGAATATGGTGGTGGATATGTTGAGTGCTTTTAGGGCGGCAGAAGGCGGCGGTGGGATGGGGCTGACGAGTGCGCCGAACGCGAGGTTGATCCCGGTTTACGTGCTCGCGTTGATGAAGAGTGTGGCGTTTAGAGTGGGAACGAGCACGAAACTGGACGACAGAGTGTTTTCGATGTGTCAGATGAAGGCGAGTTTTACTGTTTTTATTTCTAAGATATCATCGCGTTGTGAATTACAGTATTTAATTTTCAAGCGTGCTCGACGTATTTAAACAGTAGTGGGGGAAAAATCTCTATCGAGTCGGGTACAGTTGGGCCCCGACGTACGGACGAATCGATTTGATACCCTTGCAATTCGAAAAACCTGCCTTGACATCAACGCAAATGTCTCAAGATATGCACCTTTTGCCAACACTTCTAAACAAATGTGAAAATGTTGCTTTTTTCTTGAACAAATTGAGCTATAGTATTCATATTCACAAAAAAACCGAAATATATTTTATTGTGAATCAACTCTAATTTCTTAATCAAAAACAAGCGAATGTTGTGCTTCATTGTTCTTTTTTTTTTAGAGTTACCGTATCTCAATTATCTGTGCAGAGTTTAGCAAGACTGTTGCTTGTTCTTTGTTTTTAGGCTCCTTTTGATGCCAAGAGATCATATTCCGCGTGGTTTTATCCTGCACAGTAAAGTTCTGTATCTTGAAGTTAAGAAAATAATTCTTATTCCAGTTTTTGTCGGACTTTTTCCTAATTTTTGATGAATGGAAGAACCAATTAAGTATTTTCCGATTGAAGTTTAAGGGAAAATGTTATCCAACGTTTCGACGTTCCAACAGACGAGGTCCGAGCACCAATTGTGTCCGCATCTCGAGGCCCCACTGTGCATTTAGCGTTTGATGATGAATTTCCAATTACAGGACAGTTTATATTTTATGAAGAGTAGTTTTTTTTTTTTTTGCTTGTTTTATTCGGACGCTAGAAATTCGTTTCAAAGCTCCTTTGTGTATTATTCTAGAAATTTAGTTCACTTTATGTTACGTTTTTCCAGTGCATAGTTGTCTGCTTTGGTAAATATCTTGCAGGCTAATAATTTAGACTATTACAGATGGACTCGCTCTTCAGAAAAATGCGTTGAAGAGAGAGATTTTTGTTGCAGAGAGCCCCATTACTTGAAGATGAAACCTCTTTTGGGCCAACATAATTCGTTTTACAGAAAAAATCGTTGTAGAGATAGTCCACCATTTTAGGAAGCCAGGTCAGGTTTTTTAAATTCGAAAACCCTGACGTTCTATTTACAGTATTATCCTTTCCAGCCATCGCAAAATAAATGGGAAATGTAGCGTTGAGAGAATGATGGAGTTTGTGTAATAATGGAAGATTTTCTGTGTTTTCTGCAGTCCTTGCCATTAGCCGACCTTATCCTGATGGTGTATCCTTGCCTGTATCCCGTGCACAACATGAGCGACGAGGACGCCATCGTCGAGTCCGACGGAGAAATAATCCCGCAACCGCCGCGTCTCCCGCTGACGTACGAACGAATCGACTCTGGCGGCGTTTATCTCATGGACTCTGGCGACAAGCTCACTTTTTATGTGTGTCGAGCCATCAACCCTGCCTGGATCCTCGCCGTCTTCAACGTCCACCACTTTTCGCACATTCAAGACGGGGCTATCGATTTGCCAGAGTTGGACACTCGGGAATCGAAGCGCGTGCGAAGCTTTTTGGGCCACTTGCAAGCGCAGAAGTTTATGCCGGCGACGCTGGTGGTGATGCGAGAAGATAGCAAGGATCGCATGGACTTCGTCCACAGGCTCGTGGAGGACAAATCCGACTGTGGGTCGTCGTATTACGAATTCCTACAGATGCTCAAAGGGCTAGTGAAATGATCGCGGCTTCACTCTTAGCAATGCTATTTTTTCTCCTCCTCTTCCTCCTCGAGGTTTCTTTTTAGTTTGTTCTGTCTCACTCTTTTTTCCCCTTGATATACGTATGCATACATATATATATGTCTATATATTCACTGTATTTTCTGCTGGATTTCGAAGGTGTTGTTTTGGGGAGGTCACGGAATCGTGGGTATCATGTGTTTGCTAGGAGAAACAGTTCAGTTCGCCTAGTCCCGTTGCGTGATTTCTTTTAATGTTTGCTCTCCCACTTTTGCCCCGGTTTTGAACGCTTGGTGATTTTCGAAGCCGTTGGTTCAGGACTTGAAAGTGGTTTTTTTTTCGGCTTACCAATACTTATTTTGATGAAGAAAAGCCTTGAACTCCTATCCTTGTGATGCGGGTAAAGGCGGTGGAGCAGTTTATTTAGGTTAGAATTGTCAACGGTTTGGTTGTACCCCCTGTGTCCCAAATCATTGTTTAATCGATAATAGTATAAAAAACAGGGTCTTAATATTGTGTGATGCTTATTTAGGCTAGATTAGGTTTTTTTTTAAACTTTTCCACAGTTGCACATTGATTACTCGGACGAAAACCCCCATATGTCGATTTGTCTTTTGGTCTTGTCTGAATACCCTTGAAAATAGTGCTATCTAAACCTCCCTGACTCGAAAGCTTTTCCTCGAATGTCTATAAGCGACATCTGCCTGTCTTTTCAGAAACCTTCGCCCATATCCAACCGGGATTACATTCGAAAAGTGCCAAGACTTCAATTTCATGACTGAAAGTTCTTTCACGTGTTCCCTTTGCAAGAATTCTGATGTATCCCAATTTTAAAATTTAGTTCGATTGCGTTGTCCGCGTGAATGATGAAAAATATTTCGTCATGTTTCATTGATACCGAAGAAATCCACTCGGTGCAGTTCGCAATTTTCTGAGTTACTCAAATCGATCTAGGAAGAAGTATTTCTCCAATTATCAATTTGTATAAGTATTTATATCATGCCGCGTGTGATTTTGCATGCGACAAAAAGAAAATGGTCTAAATTTCGGAAAATACGCAATCGAATCAACAGGATTTTCAAACTTTTCGTGGTTCTATTTTGAACGATGTTCCTTCGACTATTCATCTTGGTCGCATTTCTTTGTCGCAAAGTGAATGTTGGTAAGCTCGAAAAAGATACTAAAATTTGGGGAGCTTATTTATAATTTTGCTGCACATTCCATACCATAGGGAAAAAAATGGTGATTTCGTTTTTTCCTTCTCCCGACTCGGAGATGAACCGGAAACTGCAGCTATCTAAGAGGCGTCGTCGTCGTGACCCGTGTGTCGGAAGTGCCTGGGACGAGGGAGCGAAGCATTTTAATCAGAGGGTGGTTATAAGAAGAAGAAGAAAAAGATTATTGCTTGACTTTTGCGAAATGGGTTGGATAGCGGAATCCCGCGTATTGTCTCCGATGCGTGCTTGAAAGGAAATTAGGATTTTATTCTTTTCCGTGCATGATTAAGCAGTTGAACTACGATTATCTGTGGGTGTGATGGCCGGAAAATTGGATTCTCTGGAAAATGCTTTCATCCTTGAGGTAAAATGCGTTCAGTAATCTCTTGGTGTACTATCAGCGATGTTTGGAAGTGCCTGTTTACTTGGTGAATCAGAAGGGACTGAAGTACAGTACTGTAAAACCATTTAAACTCAGTTTACGGGAAACTTGAAAAAAAAAGTACTTCGAAAGCCCGATTAATCGGTGATTTTGTGTATTTCTTTTTACACTTCTGATTTCCCCGCGGTATTTTCGTGTTTTTTCCTGAATTGAACGTTTTATTTTGAAGGATTTCGTTTACTAAAGCCCATTATTGGTACGTTTTCAGGATATTTCGCCAATGGAATGTATCACTGTTTATCAAGCCTTGAAGACCTCTGTGAAATCAATTTATCATGCCTGATTTCGCGATTTTGCCCTTTATTTGAAAGAATGATTTTTCTCAAGAGACAGCCGTCTTTAGGGGGGCTTTGATTTCTTCGTGAAATAATTTTTTCCCGTTTTCCAACTTGAAAGAAATCCAAATAGAATTGTTAAATGCAAAGTTTTAATCCCTCGTTAGAATTCTTTCTGTCGAAGCTTTTGACGATATTGGCATTTTTTGTTTGAGAACGATTGCCTTGCTGATGAAATGTGAAATATCTTGGCGGAATCACTTTATCTTTTTCATTGCGAGATTGATTTTCCAGGGGAGAGGAGTTTTTTTTTTTTTTCGATGTGTTTATTTCATAGAAGTGGTTTTCTGGCGGTGTGAAAACTTCTTCGTGAATTAACAGTCTGTGTGAAATCAGGGAATCTATGTAATCTTTTCTCTATTTCATTAATCATAAATTAAATGAAAGATGATCGAATTATTCTATGAACTGATTTTACGGATCTTGGCGTTTCGTCGTGGATAACTTTCTTGTCGACCTTTTTAACAAAATCATTTTGTCTTTGTGTCCCACGAGTTTATCGTTCATCCTAGCAGATGATTTATTCATTTGGTTTATGTTTTCGTTCGGAGGTGTACGAAATTTCTTCGGGAATTTATTTGCTGATGTCGAACGTGAAATGAGTCGACGGAATCCATCTCATCACATCATCCTGCGATGTTATCCTTCTTTGAAAGAATTGATTTTTTAAGGGATTTATTTTGCCGGAGCGTTTGGCGGTATTCGGATTTCTTCGTGGATTAAGTGTCTTGCTGTTGTCAAACGTGAGCACGGAAAAGAAAAGGGAGGTCACGGGACCGTCGTTAGCTTGGAAATTGGAGCGTGTCGCACTCGTCAACTAGTCGCGAGAGGAGAGAAAAAAATGTGGTATCAGTGTGTGAATAATTCTCTCGCCGATTATTTTGCATGGGTTGTGCGCAAAAATAAAAAAAAGAATGACTGAAGTGTTCTGGCCGGCGTTGGGCTCGTTGGCCGCGTCGGCGGTCGCGTGGAAATGCGTGCGGAGTAGCGTGAATTGTTGGTTTTGCCACGGGGACGCCGTGACGTGGCGTTGGCGGGCCAATTCCTGGTTCTGTCCCAGCTGCTGCCAGTACAACGGATTCACCAAAGACGGCGGCTACAACCAGCCGGTGCCGGGACAGGCGGCGCAGGAGGCGGATGTTTCGGTGGACTTCGGGCTCCCGTCTCAAGACCTGGGCATGGGGAATGTCTTGTGTCTTCACTGCAATTTCAAACAGGTTTGTGTGTGTGTGTGTGTTGAAGAAAAGAATACAGTAAAACCCCGACGTACGGACGCTTCGAATCGGGGACGCTTGAAACTTTGAAAAATAGTGTCGTGGCATGTTGACACCTTTCAAAGATTTCGAGAAAAAAGTTATTCTTGAAAATTTGGATGTATCTTGAACAAATTGAACTATTTATATTCACAAACATCAGAAAAGGATTTTGTTACCTGGTTAAGTTGAACCTCCCCAAGTCAAATTTTTTTCAAATCCCTGTCTGAATTCCCTTGGAATCAATGCAGTAAAAACCTCCTTAACTCAAACTATTTTTCTCTAAAACCTGTGTAAGTTGAATTTTCCAAGGCCTTCTGGTTATTATTTTGGTACTTTCCTGTTATCTCAGTACCTACTTTCCTGTTATCTCAGTACCTACTTTCCTGTTATCTCTGTACCTTCCCTCTGACCTTATATATAGAAGGTGAAAACTACGGTACTTTCCTGTTATCTCAATACCTACTTTCCTGTTATCTCTGTACCTTCCCTCTGACCTATTTAACCTGACCTAACCTAACTTCACCTAACTGCCTCTCAAAATCAGTTTCTGCTTTCTTTGGGTTTCTGCTGAAACTGATTTTGGGAGGGGGTTACCTAAAGTTATGTTAGGACAGGTTATGTTAGTTAAAAGATATTTGTAACTAACATAACCTGACCTAACCTAACTTTACCTAACCGCCTCCCAAAATCAGTTTCAGCAGAATGTGGAAAAATAAAATTCACAGTTTCTGGTAGGTTGTTGTGATTATGAACTTGTCCAAAAGATTTGTCTGGATGGTAGTGCAGTCTAGGAATGAGTTACTGAGATAACAGGAAAGTACCATTGTATTTCCTTGAAATATGAAAGAGAAAATCATTAAAACAAATGATTTGATGCATCTTGAAAGGAAGTGATGTAGCAAATTAACCCCTGCCTCCAAGTTCAGCAAGGTGCAAACACAATAACAAGCAAGTTTAGGCCTAGAATATCCTCATTTACAATTTCCCACAATTTTTTACTTCTCCTTACAACAAAAGTGTTAGTTTCCTCAAAACAAATTTCTGGTCCCTAGAAATTCAACTTACAGAGGTTCAACTGACATTTACTCAAAATTATTGTATAATCAAAAGCGGGTTAATTTTGGGCTTCTTTTTTTGTGGAGTATTCTGTATCATCTGTGCACAGTATAACAAGTCTTTTACTTTTCTTTGCCGTTCATCATTTTGATGCAAACAGATTAGGTTCTGTGTGGTCATCTTCTGCATAGTTATATTCTGTATCTTCAAGTTGAGAAACACATTTTATTCAATCTTTTATGGGAATCTTTTCCTAATTTTTGATGAACTGGAGAACCAATGAAATAAATTCTAATTGACGTCTATCTGTCTATGGGAAAGTGTGATCCAACATGCGGACATTTTGACAAAGGGACAAGGTTCAAGAACCAATTAAATCTGCATCTCGGACCCTGAGATATGGACAATCCAATCCAACTATTCAAGGGCACTTGAAGCTCAAAAAAATCTTCCTCAACATCAGGATAATGTATTGAAATTTAGACATATGTCAAAATTTGTAAGGAAAATTCAAAAATACAATTTGAGTGAATGCCTGTACTTGACCAATACATTTTTTGCTTCAGTTGTCTGTCCGTATTTGTAATGACATCTTTCTGACTTCCTGAAGAGCAACGTTGGGCGTTGAATTGAAGAGGGAATAGTTTCCTGTGCATAGAGTTTGTGTTGTGTTGAAGACGATGTTCAGTTCTGTTTGGTTGAATCCGCAGCATTGTAATCGTACTTTTGTTATTTTCGTTGTTTTAGGGGCTGAAAATCGACGCTTTGCGCAATTTCACTCCGTCCAGCGAGCTTGCTTATGACGAAGAATTGTCAAGATTCAAGGCTTCGTTGGAAGAAGTCTTCCCGCTTTGTCCGCAGTGTTCTTTGAGGGTCAATGATTTGCTTCGTCGATTGGACTCGAAATTTAGCAAGGATTTAATCCAAGTTAGTTGATGATTTTTTTGTTTTTTGTTGCGTAAAAATGCATTTTCACCTGTATTTTTCTTCGCCAGACGCGTTGGCAACGAGCGAATCGCCCTCCGCATATTTCCAATCCGCAGAAACCCTCTGCCAGAAGTCGTCTGAAAGCCGCATTCAGAGACAAGCTCACCGTCTCTCAACGCCTTCTCCGCGTTTTGCACGCTGTGACTCTACAAGTGTTCATCGTCTTTTTACCCAGTCTTGAACCCGTTTTGCTCAATTCGCTGCGTAACTGGGTTCCAAGGGATGTTTCCGACCCTCTGACACACAAGTGCCCAAATGACCCGCTAACCAATGGGTAGTTGTTGCACCGACGTAATTATAAGCGTCGGAACTAAAACGCCAGCCTCGTAAGCCCGCACGTTCAGCCTTGCACAAACGACAACCGCCAATTGCCCATTTGGGCGGCCGAGTGGCTGGCGCCTTTCGTCGTCCTCGCCAGTCTGTTTGAAGGACGGCATCTGAAAACTTTGTTGACGAAACCTCGCATTGAAGAAGAAGTTATGCTCAGTCGTGAGACACCATGCGTAAGAAATGTGGAAGACGCGTGTGGACCCAAGGACCAGGTTTTTGTGAGCAGGAGTAAAGTGACTATGATGGATGACGTTGAGATGATGGACACTAGTGAAGACGTGTTGTTGCCGGCAGTGAGGGAGCTGAAGATCGGCGATCGATTCGACGCACTGAATATCGGGGATTTCGTGAAACGAAACGGGAATGTTTTTGAACGATTTCAGCCGAATGGTTTGCCGGAAAACGTCGTGAGTGCGGAATTCTTCTTTGTGCGTCGTAGTAAAAAAAAAAAAACCTGCAAAAATTGACGAACCTTTACCAGATAAAATCAAGGAAAAAAAATTTTTATTGACAGGCTTTTTGATGAGTTTGCTCGAGTTACAAATCATAGTAATCACCCAACGTTTATACGAAGTGGATCTGTTATACGAAGACAAATTTTCATCTGATAAGGTTATTTTTGAAAATTATTCGCAGGTAATGTGTTATACCCTCGGCGACCGCAAATTTATTACGAAAACAAAAAATTCTTCCTAAATGATTTTCACATGAGAAATTTCGTTAAAACGTCATCTACCGAAATTTAGTTGTCGAGTTTATACGCTTTTAATTAAAACAGAAAGTATCGGGCGGTTGTACTAAGTTCAAAGACACTCTCCAGACGTAAACTTTTATTGTGTGCGTTTCCACTGTACTAAATAAAGAACCTGTGCTCAGCTATATATAATTTACATATCCCCGGGTAATTTGGATTGTTTTCTAGAAGAATATTGATTTTATTTTATACAGTAAAATATCATTACAATAAATCTCTTTATAACAAATTTTTCATTGCAACAAATTTTTCTCTTGATCCTGGCAGTTTCCCATAGGCACAATTTTATAAAAATCTCATTTCGACAAACTTAATTTAGGCTATAATCTCATTATAACACATTTTTGGCCATGATTCTGTTCATAGGCCATATAGGGATCATACAAATTCTTTGAAAAAAGCCAGAAAACTTGGAAATATTTCAAACATACGGCATGCCAAATTCATTAAAAATATATCTGCGGAGAAAACTTATTGGTGTTCCAAAAATGCACAAAATCAAACATTTCTTGGAAATTCTTCAGCTCCATTTTAGAAAGTATGCCTTTTTTTAAATGAACAGTACATTTAAAAATTGCCTTGATGTCAAAGAGCAGGCAGAATGGTATGGGTGGATGTGTGCATTACTCAGAGGGAAGTGCGGTATTTCTGCCGCATTTAATTTTGTTTTATTATTTTTTCAAGAAAAGCAACATCTCTGTATTCAAGGGCTGGTTTAAATGTTTAATGAAAGGAAATTACTATTTATTCAAAAATGTTTACCTCATTTCATCAATGATGCCCTCACTAATTAAGATAAGTTTTGAATGATTTGTTTCAGACGCAATTTAAGGTAAATAATGCCCATTTCACAAAAAAAATCTGAAGTGTGTCCAAAACCAAGAATCTCAATACAAAGAATTTTTCATTATAACGAATATTTTAACAGGTCCCCATGAGTTTGTTGTAATGAGATTATACTGTATCATACTTTTTATTATTATTATTTTTTCATATCCCCCCAACCCTGTTAAACTGACACAAACCTCGCAAACAAATGGTGGCAGCTTATTGAGGTTTGACTATAAATGCTATTTTTGAATTGAGAAATGCGTATATTCGTCATTTCCTGCCAAATCCTCGCAAGGAAACCAAATCTCGAAAAATCCTTCTCGATAATTCGTGTTTTTAAGAAATTAAAAATGGTAAGGCTAGAAGAATCGAATGTCCGATGTGTTTTGCGTGAATCCACGACCTGATTGAGGATCTAGTCTAATTTGAACTACCCTTACTCGACCTGAAGTAACTCAAAAAGCCTAAACTTTGATCTTCGATAGAATCCTCCTGTTGAACTTTTTTGTCATTTTTCTTGGTATCTCTTTTTCTAGGAAAATCGCGGTGAACCAGAGTTGCCGAGACCGCAAGTGATTCGACGCCTCGTCCCACGTCCGTCGTCCATTTGCAGCGACACGGACTTCCCGTCGTCCGCTTCCGACATCCANGGGATGTTTCCGACCCTCTGAATGTGTTCACGGGTTTACTGGGCGATTGGTTACCCATCAACAACGTGGCTGCATTAATATTCGCAGCCTTGATTTTGCGGTCGGAGCATTCGGGCGTGCAAGTCGGAACGTGTTTGCTGTTGGCGGTTTTGCCCATTTGGGCGGCCGAGTGGCTGGCGCCTTTCGTCGTCCTCGCCAGTCTGTTTGAAGGACGGCATCTGAAAACTTTGTTGACGAAACCTCGCATTGAAGAAGAAGTTATGCTCAGTCGTGAGACACCATGCGTAAGAAATGTGGAAGACGCGTGTGGACCCAAGGACCAGGTTTTTGTGAGCAGGAGTAAAGTGACTATGATGGATGACGTTGAGATGATGGACACTAGTGAAGACGTGTTGTTGCCGGCAGTGAGGGAGCTGAAGATCGGCGATCGATTCGACGCACTGAATATCGGGGATTTCGTGAAACGAAACGGGAATGTTTTTGAACGATTTCAGCCGAATGTTTTGCCGGAAAACGTCGTGAGTGCGGAATTCTTCTTTGTGCGTCGTAGTAAAAAAAAAAAAAACCTGCAAAAATTGACGAACCTTTACCAGATAAAATCAAGGAAAAAAAATTTTTATTGACAGGCTTTTTGATGAGTTTGCTCGAGTTACAAATCATAGTAATCACCCAACGTTTATACGAAGTGGATCTGTTATACGAAGACAAATTTTCATCTGATAAGGTTATTTTTGAAAATTATTCGCAGGTAATGTGTTATACCCTCGGCGACCGCAAATTTATTACGAAAACAAAATCTTCCTAAATGATTTTCACATGAGAAATTTCGTTAAAACGTCATCTACCGAAATTTTCAACAGCTCAAATATGCGAAAATTAATTTTGTCTTTCATAGCCCGCCAACATGATTCAAGTTTCTGTGAGAGGTCTGCATTTGAAAATAACACACGCAAAGGTGACATGATTTATTTCTTGGACACATCAGCTATATATAATTTACATATCCCCGGGTAATTTTGATTGTTTTCTAGAATAATATTGATTTTATTTTATACAGTAAAATATCATTACAATAAATCTCTTTATAACAAATTTTTCATTGCAACAAATTTTTCTCTCGATCCTGGCAGTTTCCCATAGGCACAATTTTATAAAAATCTCATTTCAACAAACTTAATTTAGGCTATAATCTCATAACACATTTTTGGCCATGATTCTGTTCATAGGCCATATAGGGATCATACAAATTCTTTGAAAAAAGCCAGAAAACTCGGAAATATTTTAAAGATACAGCATCCCAAATTCATTAAAAATATTTTCTGCAGAGAAAACTTCTTGGTGTTCCAAAAATGCACAAAATCAAACATTTCTTGGAAATTCTTCAGCTCCATTTTAGAAAGTATGCCTTTTTTGAAATGAACAGTACATTTAAAAATTGCCTTGATGTCAAAGAGCAGACAGAATGGTATGAGTGGATGTGTGCATTACTCAGAGGGAAGTGCAGTATTTCTACCGCATTTAAGTTAGTTTTATTATTTTTTTTAATAAAAAGCAACATCTCTGTATTCAAGGGCTGGTTTAAATGTTTAATGAAAGGAAATTATTATTTATTCAAAAATGTTTACCTCATTTCATCAATAATGCCCTCACTAATTAAGATAAGTTTTGAATGATTTGTTTCAGACGCAATTGAAGGTAAAACGGTAGGAATTAATTCCTATTTCACACACAAAAGTCTAAAGTGTGTTCAAAACCAAGAATCTCAGTACAAAGAATTTTTCATTACAACGAATTTTTTAACAGGTCCCCATGAGTTAGTTTTAATGAGATTATACTGTATCATACTTTTTATTATTATCATTTTTTCATATACCCCCAACCCTGTTAAACTGACACAAACCTCGCAAACAAATGGTGGCAGCTTATTGAGGTTTGACTATAAATGCTATTTTTGAATTGAGAAATGCGTATATTCGTCATTTCCTGCCAAATCCTTGCAAGGAAGCCAAATCTCGAAAAATCCCTCTCGATGATTCGTGTTTTTAAGAAATTAAAAACGGTAAGGCTGGAAAAATAAAATGCCTAATGTGTTTCGCGTGAATCCACAACCTGATTAAGGATGTAGTCTAATTTGATCTACCCTTACTCGACCTGAAGTAACTCAAAAAGCCTAAACTTTGATCTTCGATAGAATCCTCCTGTTGAACTTTTTTGTCATTTTTCTTGGTATCTCTTTTTCTAGGAAAATCGCGGTGAACCAGAGTTGCCGAGACCGCAAGTGATTCGACGCCTCGTCCCACGTCCGTCGTCCATTTGCAGCGACACGGACTTCCCGTCGTCCGCTTCCGACATCCACGGCTTCAACTCTAGTCGCGGCGACGACGACGAACGTACCGTTAGTGACGTGGATGACACGTTTTCCCTGTTGGATGCTCCGAGGAAAAGCAGCGGCTGGGTGTCCTTCGTGCTTGGATCAGTGGCCATCACGAGCATGATGATTAGTTTGTTCCTCATTTTGTTCCTCGTGTCAGCCGATCGCGCGATTGAGCTCGGGAAATGGGTCAGTTCTGGTTGGTGAGGACTTTCTCGACGAATTATTCTTTTTTTTTTTCCGACTTGATCCCGTGTGGCATGGATTTTGCAGTACAGTGAGTCCCCGCGCAACGAAAAATTTGCCTAACGAAAATTCCTATCGCAAAAAAAAAACAAAAAAAAAACACATGTAATATGACGAAATTGCTTCACATGACAAAAAATGCTCGTCTTTTTTGGAATTGTAATTCAAAGTTTAGAATTTTTCCAAAAACTGAGGGAAATGATTCAACTTTTACATGTTCTTGCCTGTACAATTTGGGAAATTCAAAAATTTGGAAGCAAGTGGAGAGCGAGAAGTTGTCGTGATCACTTAAATGTCATACTAATCAACTTTAAATTCGCTATTTTATGAAAAATACGCACATTTCCAATTTTATGGCGGTGGTTTGGCGATTGTCAAGAATCACTAACGATTTAATCTCAATAAAAAAAAATTGGCATTAGAAAAACTCTGCATGACGAAATAAATCCAGGAACAGATTTATTTCGTTGTGCGGGGACCCACTGTGCATTCATTCAGTGCGACACCCCATCATGAAGACTGTGTATTTTACAGTTTCTTGTAGTTTCTGTGTCAGCTGACGAATCCTGTTCAGTGGATCCTTTCAGTTGGAAGACCTTGATCCGATTATTTAATGTCAATTATGATGTCTGATTGGTCCTATGACCACCCACTTTCCTCATAAAATTACACAAGAGTACTGTGATTTTTGCGCTCTATGAAATGGTTTTCGTCTTCATGAAGAAAAAAGGTTCATTAATCCAACTTCGTGAGAATTAAAAGAGATTAAGAAATATGTTACGGTTAATATTGCAGTAAAATCTCGTTACAACGAACTCCCTGGGACATGAGGAAAAATTCGTTATATTGAGATTAATGATTTTTAGCACATTTCAGACTGCAATTTTTTTGGGAATGGGGAATACATACTTTTAAATGCTTTTAAAAGAAATAAATCAAGACCTAGCATAATTAATGAGTACTTCTGATGAAATGAAGATAAAATCCTTTGATGCGAATAGAACTCTCCTTTGAAGGAACTAACATTTGTACTGTAGTATCTTCGTGAAAAATGTTTGCCGTTAATCATAAATTTTAGTGGCCCTCCACCAAATCCATGCATGTGTGTCTTCGTACACTATTACCAAATTTAAGACTTGATTAATTGATAAAATTGTCGGATTTTCCCGAGTTTACTGTATTTGAGCGGTTTATGGAACGTAGAAGAGCTCTGATGGGTTGGATCTTCAATGATCTCACATTCGAATGTGAGATTTTTTTAAAATGGAACGTCAAATTTAGTGCTTGATGAAAGTTTCTTACGCGATGAGCGAAAATTTCTGTACTGTATTTTCAAGTTTTTGGAAAATCCATGCTGTTGAGACGCAAATTAATATCCGGCTTTTTTCTACGATTTAATTTGAAATTTTTTCTTCTTGCATCGATTTTATTGTTATAATACTGTATTTCCAAGAACTCTGAAGATTATTTTGATTTTTGATGACTCTGTTTGGCTGGAAATAATGAACCCATCGCAAATTTTCGTCAAAACAACGTAACCCTTCAGTGGTTCAGGACACAAAAAATCGATCTCGTCATCTGTCGTTTTCGTAGATCTCCCCAATACAGAGAACGATTTTTTTCCCACCGCCATCATTGCTTAGTTGAGCATTTTTGAAACATATCCTTGAATTGACTGGTGAAATCATTCAACAAAGGGAAGACGACGGGACTAGTTTCTCTCTCTGTGTGTGTGTTTGTGTGAATGACTCCCGATGCTGTTTGTTGAAGGGATGGCGCGAATCTCCCACTGCCAGTTTTTGCAATCGTCCTTGTACCATTTATAAGTTGAGAATCAAAAAAAAAAGCTTGGAAAGCGGTGTGATATGGGATTTTTCTGCGATTTTTCGAAAGGTTGATCGTTCTTCATGTATTTCTTCATTGTTCGGGTTGGGCATGAAATCGCTAATTCCTGGTCACCAGTTTTTTTCTTTTTATTTGTAAAATTCACCCCCCATTGATTTCGTTTCTTGTGCGTTTGTGAAAATCTGAGTTTTCAGTTATCGTTACCCCCAGCAATGGATGGATTCATTGATTCCTGCAAATTGCACGAAAGTCTGGCTAATTTCCTCCTGCACTCCAAAATATTTTCAAGAAAGAGAAAACGGCTGTGAAATTTCAATAATCGGGAAATAATTAATCAATTAGAAGTTTTACTTAGAAAAACACAAAATTCTGTTAATGTAATGCACATGAGCCAGGAAATTTTCCTTTGTAACACTTGTTTTACTATGCTCATTTTACTTGTTTTTTTTAATTTTTAGCTGAAGGAATCGAGGAAGTTTTGAAGAATATATAATCTTAAAGAACCAGATATTGAACAAAATGCCAGGGATTTTTAACTTGGTGGTCTCTCCTGAAATTTTACCTTCGGTAAGAAGCGTGTCGCCTTTTTTTTAAGTTCACGTGAATCTCTGTTGAGGAGCCTCAAAATAGGTCTGGTGCCCTAGAAGGCCTCAAAAATATCTCAGAAAGGGTTCGAGTTGAGCGATCTGATTTTGTATCTCGTCAAAATTAAAAATGAATTGTTAGACTTGAAAATTATTCCTCTTGGGTGCTAAAAATTCTTCCGATGAAAGCAAGTCCTTGATTGGTCAATCAGATCATTGGATTCGTCCGTTTTTTCATGACTCAATTTGGAATCAGGGATTAGAGATGATATCATATCGAACAATGACTTCCTGCTCAACCGGTTTCGTCAGTTTCCGGAATGTCCGTCCACGAGCTGTGTGATTTCCAAATGAAAAAATTTGTTTTTCGATTCTCCTCGGCGCCTTTTTGACAGAGAGTGAGTCTGAGTGAATGTGTGTGTTTCCGAGCGAGCGAAGAGTGAGTTTCAAAATATGTTTTGATGGGCAGAAGCGTTTGCGTCGCGCAGAATGCCGTACGTCCGCGTGACAGCACGCACGAGTGGCGCCTGCTTCGTGCCCGACGAACTCTCGGAATCTGAGCGCAACGACGACGACGACGACTGCCACAACGCGGATCCTCCTCCTCCATCGTCATCGTCGTCTGCTTCTCAACCGCCGCCGGTGTCGGGCGACGCCTCCGCGTCCAACGACGACGCCGCCGCCGTGTCCAACGATGACGTGGTCGAGTTGCCGACGGAGGAGGACAAGTCCCTGTCCCTGGCCACGCTGGAGGGCCAGTTCCCCGGCGCCGTGGGCCTGCAGTACCGGACGAGCACGGGTGCCTTGCGCGGGGTCCGGATTTGCGACGGGCACTTGAAGGAGCCCGAGGACGGATGGAGGGACACGTTGTATTACTGCGTGTTTCCGGGCGGGAAGGGATGTTGCGTGCCGCACGGGGACCAAATGAATGGGGACAAGAGGACGAAGGTGCTGAAGGAGTGCGTGGACTTGATCGTTCTCGGGATACCGTATTCCACGTCGCCGGATGAGCTGGCCGAGTACTTTGAGCAGTTTGGTGCCGTCGCTACGGTTGAGGTAATTTAATTGCCAGGCTGCCGAGTGTGTCTGGGGTGGCCTGGCCTCGAGTAACGAGCTTAATCCCCTGTTCCAGTGATGGGTTCGTTGCTCGAAGCGTTCTTGAGAATGTATGAGGCATAATTTCTAACAGTAACGTGTAGGGAATTTGTTTAAATGGCGCTTGAGTAAAAATATTATGCAGGTAAAATGAAGAAGGGAAGAAGCGAGAGAAATCTCTTTTCTGGCGTCTGTGTCGGAAAATTGTCCAACAGTAAACGTTTTATTTTTGGTTCGATTAGAGTTTCAGGCGACACTTGGATGACATTTTAGTGAAACATGCGAGGTTGAAATCAGAACATCCGATGCAGGAAAAGAAGGACAAGGATTTCCTGATCGATTTTGAAGTAAAAAAATGTACAGGACATCATAGAAGGGAATTGCTGGAAGGTTTGCGAAATGTATTAGAACGTTGAACAAAGCACTAACTTGGTACTCCTGTGGTATGAAGGAGTCAATGACGAGCTTTTTCAACTGCAATTCTCTGGCCAATTGTCGTACATTATCCAGCAAACCCTCGATCTCTCTTTGACGATCTTCTCTGACGTCTTTGACTTCGGCCTTGATCCCAGCGAGATGCTGCGTCAATCTCGCGACTTTCTTGGTTTTCCCAACAGCCTCTTCTTGGAGACTAGAATATTTTTCTTACATATCCAACCGTTCAGCCTTGAATTCGTCGTAAAAGAAAAAAAGGAAAGAATTATTATCATTCAAAAGTCTCTTGTGAAACGGAGGAATTCCAACGATAATTAACGCGATGGTCATTCATTATTTCGGATTGGAAGATGTCTTCACCTCTTTCTCTTCAATAGCCTTCTTCTATCTTGCTTCGTGCTTCTTTCGATCTTCTAATTCTTTCTGAGATTCTTCCAGAAGTTTTTCCTGTGTTTCTGCTTTTTCCAGCAGATTTTCGCCAAGAACGATGACCTTCTTCTGAAGAGACTTTAATTTTTTAATGAAATCGCTTCTTTCCTGTTTGATGGGACCAAAAGATAGAAAAATCTGCCTTTTGACGTCTTTGACTTGGGTCTTTATCCCAGCGAGGTACTGAGTCAATCATTCGATTTTTATAATTTGGAAACTTTAAAATATTTTTAGGTTCTTTCCTCTAGTCAAGTTTGTTGCTTAGCTCTTTGTTGAATATGCTGCCACGCCTTCATTCTCAATTTTATAATTTTTTTGGGAAGAAGACTCGGCTGTATCCTGAGAATTTTTTGTTTCCCCCCTCCAGAGTCAATAACTTTTCTATGGCGTTTGGTTGCAGGTGAAAACGAACCCAGTTACGGGGAAATCGAAGGGTTTCGGGTTCGTGCGGTTCAAGGAATATTCGGCCCAGGTGCGGGCGCTGAGCGCACGGCACAACATTGGCGGACGGTGGTGCAACATCAACCTGCCCAAGAGCAAACACGATCCGTCCGAGCCGGAAACCGTGTCGCTTCCGAACCGGATATTCGTGAGCCGCATCCCCCCGGGCATCACGGCTTCGAGTCTCCGCGACTACTTCGTCAACTTTGGCGAGATTGAAGACGTGTTTGTGCCGAATCCGCCGCGAGGATTCGCCTTTGTCACGTTTCGAGACCTGGACGTGGCCGAGAAACTCGTGGACGGACAGCATTTCGTCAACGGCGTCTCTGTGAATGTGTCGCTGGCCATGACGAAGGACTCTTGCTTTGCCGGTCAGTTGTCGTGTTCGTTCCACTCGCTTGTGTGTCTACTTGAATGGCTTTCTGCCAGGACTCCAGAAAAATTTTTGTTCTGCTAGGGTTGATTCATAAGTTTTGAGACTTCATGAAATGTACGAGGGTTCTAACAAAAGTTTTCGGAGTAGCAATAAAAATGGCTCACAATCGAGCTGAAAAAAATGTATTCTTTAGGGAGAACATATTCCTTGGCCCACAAAAAATATCACCCCTGTTCGCCAAAGTGGCGGCCAATGTGGCGGCTGTTGATGAAAATGGCGGAATTTCCTTGGATGACCTGGAGGCAACCCTTAGAAAGAATGCCAAGTTGATTTCAAGAATTCTGAGGGGAAAGCTGGGCTATAACAAAAAAAGGGCGCCTCGTCTTTTGAGTGGAGAGCAAAACTCTGCCAGGTTGAATTATGAGAAAAATTCAAAACAATTTGTCGAACAGGGCTGATATTTTTTCGTGTGCCCAAGAATATTTTTTCCCCGAAGAACAAATTTTTTTCCGCTCAACTGTAAGCCATTTTCTTTGCTACTCCGAGAACTTTTGTTAGAACCCTCGTTTATTGTGATAAGTACCACTGCGATGATTTTGTTTCCGTAATATTGTATTGTGCTTCTTTCTTTTGTAGCGGGTCTGGGCAAGGCGCCGTATCGTTGGCGCACGAGTGCGCCGCAACAACGCCAGCAGCAGCAGCCACACCATCATCAACAACACCACCACCACCCGAACGCCGCCGTGTCGCCAGTGTATCACCATCAAATGCAACACCAGCCGCAGCAGCATCAGCAGCACCATCATCATGCTCATCATCATCAGCACGCGGACCACGCGGCGGCGTCGTGGGGCGTCGCGATTCATCCGGCGGCTTGCGGGCGTGGCGACGAACACCACGTGGACGGCGGCGAACTTCACAGTGGTTTCGGCTACGGAGCGGAGAAAACTGCCGCCGTTGGCTTCGTCAGGTTTGGGGACTGGTTCCGCTTTTCCGCTTCGTGTGATACAGTATAAGCGAGGGTTGTCCCAGTTGGACGCGGCCTTTGATATTTCTGGAGTAGGTGTGACTGTGAGAAGAAATTGTGACACACAGTTCATGATGTTCCAAGGTTCTGGGATTTTTTGTTTTGATTTTAAAATTATTTTTTATAATTACTGCATGATCAGAAGTGAAAACTCTCCAGTTACAGCCTGAGTTCTGCACCCATGTCACGGGTTGCTGAAAATTCGTAGGGTCAGCTGAAAGATTGCATTTTTATACGGTTTCACCCATTTCTTTTCAACACTTCGGAGAATGGTTTAAAAATTACTTTTTAGTTAGTCTGAAGAATTAACTTGACAAATGTGCTTAAAATTTGTCAGATCAGCTAAAAAGTTGAAATCTTTCTGTTTTTAACCCATTTCCTCTTCTACACTTCGAATTAATGGTTTAAAAATCAATTTATAGCTAGCCTAACAAATTTTAGCACCCTGTGAGACGTTTGAAGTGAACGTTTTCACTTATCGTCATGCAGTCAATTCAAAAACTTGTTTTTTTTAATTCGAAAAAATCCTAGAACTTCAGAATATCATGGGTTAGGTCATGGATTTATTTTTAAAATCACACCCATTTTTAAAATATCAGATCTTTGGCTGGAACTGGGAAGTTTTCACTTATCATGATGCAGCAAATTGAAAAACTTTTTTTAATCAGAAAAAAATCCTAGAACCTTGAAACTTTTTTTTGGCTATGTCATGAATTTTTTTTCACGATCACACCTACTTTGAAAATATCAGAGACCGCGTCCAACTGGGACAACCCTCGTATATAAAATTTACGACGAACATGGAATGAAGCGTGCATTTTTTAGACAAATTTTAAAGTTATTCACTGAATCAATTGATAAATTTTGAAAATGTTTTAAACCTTGGTTTTCAGAAAATCCTTGGGATAATTGAGGTTTTCGCTTTATTTTTGATGAGGGTAGTGATTTAGTGGATACTTGCTAGGCATTTTGGTGAGCGAGATCAGGCGCTGAAGGGAATTCAGTACTGAAGTACAGTACATTACCGAATATACCTTAATTACGAGTACTGTACTGTGTTGTACAGTATTTAATGTTTCCTTCTCTACTTGTGCGTTATTTCAGTGCTGCGGAGCCGTTTCCGCGATACGGGACTCAGTTCACATTCCGGAATTTCTCGACGCCGTCCACGGCGACAGCGGCGACTAGCTACATCAAGACCGCCGCGGCGCCGACTGCGGCGCTCATCGCGCAACGCACCTCTCTGCGGCGGCCCGTGGGCGCCGTCACGCCAGCCGGAATCGCGAATCCATATCGATGATATGGTCAAAAAAAAACATTTTTCTGTAGTTCTTGCATCTTTTGGTAGCTCTGGGTTCAGATGCAGTTTTACATCGATTTCTAAACTCGATTCGGTCACTCTTGGAAGATAAATGTGAACCTGAACTTTTTTTTACTCCGAATCAGAATTTGCCATGCGTTTCTTTTTTTTTTTTTTTTTTTGCTGATGCTTTTATATTGCAACCTGTTCTGGGTTCGTATTCATTGGCATCCTTCAGCTCAGTTTGATTTTTTAGTTTATCTTTTCAGGCAGAGAGAAAATTCGTTCAATGTCTTCGTAAGAGAAAAAACATTCTTCCTTGAAAATATTCGAGGTTGAAATCAAGAAATACTGTAGTTCGAAGTTCATGGAAAATAATTTCGGATTTTTCATCTTCTGTTGGTCGGGAAGTTCAGAACTTGTTATCCAACTGCATCTTCGTATTTATTTCATTTTTAGAATTGAACCCCAGAGATAAAAGGAGAGAAGAGTGTTGTTGGTTGGACATTGGATCTTTTTTTTTCTTTGAAGATGATTTTGTTTCTCTTATTTTGGTGGTGGGCTGGACTGGAGACACGTTTTCCAGCAGCGTTTGAAGGACCGCGATTTTTGTTATGCGACATTTTTCTCAACTATTTTAAGATTGGATTTTGTTCCATTCAAAGTCATGTCTTGTTGGGTTTTTTCTATCGTGACGAAATGTGCGTAATCGATGCATTGGCAGTGCGAAGTTTAAATATTAGTGCTGCAGTTGTTCCCCCAGAATAATTTCTACGACGTGCTGCACCAGAAATGATTCTTGTCATGATTATATCCTGAGTGCGATTTTTTTTGTTTGTTTCAAGACGTTTGTCGTGTTATTCAAATTTTCTGCCATGAACGAAAGTGAATTTTCGCGCAAAGAGAAAAAACCCAACATCTTCTATTCGTGTAAATTGCTGGAGAATTTCAGAGAAATCTTCAGTGATGGTGATTTTCGGCAAATAGTTCTTGTATGAGGACGATTGAAAGAATTTCAAATCCCTCAACAGCCTGTAATGGGAAAAAAAGAAGAAAAGCTGCTTCATTGAACGAAGGGGAAGATCATTCCTCGCATCTTGGATTGAGTGCTTTGCACTGGAAAAAGTTACCTTCGGTTTTTTTTTATTTTTTTTTTCAAAGTTCTAAAACTTTTTCGTTTTTTATCCTTGATGGTGGTGTCAGCTACGTCAAATTAATTCGACAGTCCTTGGGCTTTTTTTTTCAAAGTTTTTTTTTTGTATTTGTAGGTTTTTTCTTTAGATTTCGTTCGTATTATATTATTGTTGGCATCGTGGCAATATTTTTTCTTTTAGGGAGGAGCAAATCGGTGTTTTGCCTTCCCATGGTCCTTTGAACGCTACGTGGATGGGAAAATGTTTCCGCGAACTTGTCCGGATTTTTTCTGATATGGGGGGAAAAAAAAAGGAAGGAATCGAAGGCTCGTTTTAAAAGCCGTGTTTTCATCAAGTATTTACACCTTGTCATGTGATTTGTTCGCGCCCCCGTTGAAAACGGAAGTTTTGCTGGAATGTGTGCAACTTTTTTTTTCGGTCGTCAGTTGTTGCAAAATCTTCTCGTGTCTGCGATTCTTTTTTTTTTAAGCACATGATTTTTGGATTCTAGTCCTGTTTTATGTTATTTATGATCAACCGGTTCGTGCTGTTTGAGATAGTTTTTGCTCAAGATTGCGGCTTCGAAGAGTTTTAAGGTCAGATGAGTGCGTTGAGAAGCTTATGGTTTATTCGTTTGGATTCGCAGGTTTCTGTCCCTTTTTCAGAAATATCGAGAGGGTTCCAGCTTTTTTACGCTGCGGGAAAAGTGACGTACGTTCAAGTTAACGTACTCAAAACTTGGTTGCGTACGCAGAGATTTTGTCCACATGGAATATTTCAGTTTAATGCACTGAATTTATGCTTACAGTGCAATGAAATAAGTTGCGTGGGATGAAATGAGTTGCTTACATGCACTCAATTTTATTTTCAAAATTGAAAGGAAAACTGCGCGATCGAAAAATTGCAGTATAAAATTCGTAAACATTTCAAGAGTCGAGGTTTGCGTCATATTTGATTCAAATTTAAAATTTTGGATCCATTTAAGTATGGGAACAATTGAATTCACGTTCGGTTCAAATTCTGGTGTGATTTATCTATATTCCATTTCAAATTTTCAGTCCCGAAAACTTGGGATATAACTTGATCCGAATTTTGGTCGGAAAAATCCAAGTAGGAGGGTACGTGGTAATCAAGTAAATACGATCAACTGTGTCATGAATCGGTGATTTTCTGTGCAAAACAGAACCACTGAATGAATTGTCCTAATTTCTACTTCTTGTGACGTTTTTCTCCTAAATTACAGTACTAGAAAGTTCAGATTTTTTGAAGATTGAGCTGCTGTTGTCAAGTTTCCGCCTTTGAACAATTGCGATGGTTTGAAACTTCGAAGCTCAAATTTTTACCCAGCCTCGAAACTACCTCAAACAACAGGACCGAATGTGGATGAACGCCGGGCTTAATTGTGTAATTGCATTTTTGACTGTTTCAATCAGAGATAATCAGTAGTAAATTGAGCAGGCGGCCGGTTGAACATTTCATTTATTTTGTTTTTCTTATTCTTGGGTTTTGAAAATACTGTATTTGGTTTATATCTCGTTAGGAATCGATATTCTGCTGATCCTGGTTTTTGTTCGCGAAACATTGTGATTTCTTTCGACTCGCTTCGTTGGTAGATTTCCATTTTTTTCATGAAAAGGCGAGTGGATTTCGTTTCTTCAGGGATAGGTTTTTATTTTCGTTTTTATCTTTCGCCTCAGCGGCTTGAAAATGCGTATGTCCTGATCGTGTTCTTGTCTCGATGTATAGTGACAAGACGAGATTCCTTATATGCGTACGGCTGGCTGTTGTGATGAATCAAATGGTGTTTGTTCAGTGTGTTCATCGTCCGGCTAATTTTAAGAAGCTCTTCTCTTTTTTTGCGATAATCGTGCGTGCTTTCTGAAGTTTAAAGTTATAAGGTTTTTTTCTCGGCTTTTTGAAATGCCTGAAGATGTGTGCTTTTTGTTTCGCGTGACTTTTCAGTGGGGGAGAAAAGTGACTGGTTTGAATGTCAGGGTGTTTGTTACAATGTAGACGAGAAGAAAAGTGTTGCTTACATGCTGTTGTGCTCGTGGAATTCTGGTCAGTGAGAGCGGATCGAGGCATTTTGACCGTATTTTTTTTCGAACTTTTAAGTTTTCCTATGCGAAAAAAATACTTGCGAAAGGTTAAATTGAGTTGACACTGTATTTTTCGAGGAGTGTTTCTCGAATGGAAGCGAAAATGAATCGTACCCATTTAACGAACAAACATATAAGCAAGTATCTGAAGATGAAGGATTAGAAGAGTAATTGTATGAAAACCATATTTGAAGGTATTTTCTATTTTTTCCTGTATTCCCATAAATATATAAAAGAACATATTTTATAAATATGAGAGAAAATTCTTCAACCAAGAAAAAATGTGGGATATTGAAGATATTTTCTGTATACAGCGTTCCTTTTGTTCCTGTGTTTTTTTTTTTCTTTTGAAACTTGCGCTTCCAATACTTGTTCTTGCATACCATTTAAAAGATGTGAGTCCAAATCGCCTCTGCTCACGCGACCAAATATTTGCACTAATTTTTTTTTTGCGCTTGTGTTTGATATTTTGGGATGTGTTGTTGAATAATCGAGTTTCGTTGATTGTTTTTTTCCTGTGATAGGCTCAGTCCCCGGGGGAGAGATGGAGGAGGAAAGTGACAACGTGAAAGTGATCGTTCGCGTGCGGCCGATGAATGCCGTCGAAATTGCCCGAGGGGATAAAAACGTGATCCATGTCGACTGCGTGAACGGAGAAGTTTCACTGAAGAATTCCGACGCACTCACCCCGTGTCCCCCGAAGGTCTTCAAGTTTGATCATGTTTTCGACCGGGATTCAAAACAGGTCCGGATCCACTTTTTGTTTCCCCTCAATTTTTAAAGGTCTTTTTATTGTCTTTCGAAATTCATTTTCATTTCGAAAAAAAATTGAACTTGCTGTGTCGTGAGAAGAACTGCATTTGTGTGTGTCCTTTGATTCGAAATTGCGTTTCGATTGAGTAAAATGAAAAGTGGTCCCATTTCTTTCTGTTTCGTACAAAAGACAGCATTCTGAGTAGAGCGTTTGCAAAAGTGCGTCAAAATTTATGTTGTACAGTATTTTGTTCAATATGTTGAGATTTAATAATAAATAAATAAATGAAAGGCGTCAAAAAGATTTATTAAAGTGTAAAATCTGAATTTCTAATTCTTCCTGATCATGTGTGAGACAAGTGCAAAAAATATTGCATCGAACTGTTGTTGAATATAGAGTCGAACCACTTTCAGTTGAATTTCAAGGAGCCAGCAGGAAATTTGGCGTGTGGGAAACAAGCATTGTTTTTGAAGGAAATGAAAAAAATTCCGCATTTGTAGGTTTGAGGTATGGAAGTCCAACTATGTACGCTTTATTAGATCAAGTTGAACAAATGTTCATTTAAAATACTGTAAACGAAAAATTTTAATTTTTTCTGCAGAATACTTTCAATGTTTTTTTTTACTCTTGGGGCTATTTTCATACGTGCCCTGGAGGAACCCAGGATCAGATCGAATTTGCAATAACCTTGGAATTGTCTCTGAAGGTGGATGTGTACAACGCGGCTGCCAGAAAGATCGTCGACAATGTCCTTGAAGGCTACAATGGCACGATTTTTGCCTATGGACAAACCGGAACCGGCAAGACATTTACCATGGAAGGAAACAGGGATGTGCCGGAATTGAGGGGGATTTTGCCGAATTCATTTGCGCACATTTTTGGCCACATTGCCCGTGCTGGAGACAACAATAAGTGAGGTCTTTTTTTCCCCCTTCGAAAAAAAAATTCACTGATTGAAGTAAAAAGAGGAGCGATAACAATTTTGCGCGGTTTTCGGGTGTTACTCAGACTGATTGAAATTTGAAGAACAATCCAAGGAATTTTAGCGTTTTATTGATGTGATTTTCGACCATTTTAGTCCATTTCTCAAGATGATGAATTCATGATTAGCTTGAGAAACTTTTGCACAGTTCGTCTACAATCTACATCTTTTCTTCTGCTCATGAAGCATTTTCTGCCCAAACTTATTTTTGATGTCCATTTTAAATTTTCTTTGGAAAAGTTTTTTTTTACTCAACTGAGGAAGTGACAAATCGTGAAAGAGTGGAGCTGTTCTGACATTGTTCAAGTAATAATTTCAGATTTTTTTCTCTATTTTTCAACTCCAGACTTGGTAACGATAGGAGAAAAAAAAAGTCTTTGAAATTTTAGATCGTGAGGAACGAAGAAACATTTTTCCAGCATGTTATAAGTGACTGACTCGATTTGAATGGTTAGTCAAAATTCTTCGAGCATTTCCTTGCAAGTGTGTGAAGCGATTTGCTGACACAGTTTTCAACTTTTCAGTTTTTTGGTACGTGTGTCCTACTTGGAGATATACAACGAAGAAGTGAGGGATTTACTAGTCAAGGACCAGCGGAAGCGTTTGGAAGTCAGAGAACGCGCAGATATTGGAGTTTACGTCAAGGACTTGTCTGCGTTTGTCGTGAATAATGCCGATGACTTGGATAAAATCATGACGATTGGAAAAAACAATCGTGAGTAAACTTGCAATTTACTCCGAGAGAATAACGTCGAATTATCTCGATTCTTCGAAGCGTTGACACATTTTCACAAAGCTTAATGTGATGAAATGCGTTTGAAGAAAATATCGTTTACGGTTTTGTAAATGAATATCAATTTTGAGTGCTTCGTTTTTTTTATGCTTCGATGTTGTAAGAAGCTGTGTTTGTAAGAAAAGTAAATTGAAATACTGTAGTTCTGAATCTCGGAACTATACCCAATGTGAAGTGATCAATTCGAAGAAAATATCTGACGATTTTTTGAGTAAATATTAATTTTGAATGGTTTTTTTTTCGCTGCATCGAAGTTATGCGAAAAATTAAGTACAGTTCTGAAGCTTTTTTTATGAACTGTGGAGTGCCTAAGTAGATATTGAATAGTTTATCAACTTGATACGTTTCTCTCTCGATGTTTCAACGAATTCCCGAAAACAATGTAATTTTCGCAAATGAGGACTTTTTTCGTATATTGAAAACAGGTTCAGTTGGATCGACGAATATGAATGAACAGAGTTCCAGGTCTCATGCGATTTTCACAATCACCATAGAGTGCAGCGAACGAGGGCTCGATGGTCAGCAGCACGTTAGAATGGGAAAGCTGAATCTCGTCGACTTGGCTGTGCGTATATCCTGTGAGCTGTTGATAATAATGCCAAATTTTTGAAAATTTTCATTTCATTTTTTTAAGGGCTCTGAGCGTCAGAGCAAAACGGGAGCAACTGGGGACAGATTCAAGGAAGCTACGAAGATCAATTTATCCTTGTCCACGCTCGGAAATGTGATATCATCGTTGGTCGACGGGAAACGTACTCATATTCCGTATAGGGATTCGAAGCTCACCCGACTACTTATGGATTCTTTGGGAGGAAACGCCAAAACCTTGATGGTAATTTTTCAAATCCATTCGCTGAATTTTTGGAAAAGATAAATCGGGGCTTTCCGCGAATTCTCAAGAAGAGAAATTGCTGATATGTCAGTTGATGTAGAATTGTCGAAGTTTTTAGAGCTGCAAAAATAAATGCGAAAAAGCCATAGCTTTGTCTCTTGTCCTTGAAATGTTTGAAATTTATTAAGTGAAGTACACACATTGTCAGGATTATTTAAATGATGCTCAGATTAGTTTTTATTTTATGCTGATAACTAGGAAAAAGACGAACATTTTACAGGTTTGTCATGTGATAAAATCCTTGAGGGAAAACTGCGTTTCGCATTACGAAAATTCCGCTTACAGTTCTGAAACGCATCGAGGAAAGGATTAAGTGAGACACTCACATGCAGAGAATTTGACATAGGGACATTTATTTATCAATAAAAAAGGCATAGAAAAAGCCTGACATATGAACACCGATTTGACATGAGGACATTGCATGATAAAAATGCCAATAAATTTAAGGAAAATTGACTTTTATTTGGCTCAATTGCAAGAAACAGATGTTTCCAACCCCAAGATCTATGCAAGGAATATTCTTTGGTATTTCTCCCATCATTTTCCCATCCATTCAGCTGATTTGAAAAAAATTACCTATAGCATAGAGGGACTTCCTTCTCTCTTTGTGACTTGAATGTAATTTTTACATAAGCCAACATTTCAATGTACTGTACTGAGGTACAGTATTCAATGCTCCAAATTTTCTTATTGAGTTGAAAAGATATTCTCTGAATCAAATTCAAGTGGTAAACTATTTTTTTCATGGAATTCTGAAGAATACCATATTTACTTGAGTACCACGCGCACCTTTTTTCCCAAATTTCAGAAGAAAAAAAGGGGTGCGTGTCATAAGCAGGTACAACATTTTAAAGAAGTTTTAGGAAGTTATGTTTGCATTATACTTAATTATAATGGAGAAATTTGGAACAATTATAAGAAGAAAACATTTTTGTACTGAAAAAGTTGAAAATTGATTAGATTTTTGTTCAATTCATGTCTAAAGTCAAATTTTTTGTTTTTATTTTTGAAATTTTATGGTTTTAGGTTCACCAAAAAAGTGGGGTGTGCGTCTTACTCAGGGATAAGCGTTTTGCAAAATTTTCAACTGAAAAACCCCTGTGCACGCCTCACTTGAGGGCAAGTGGTACTTGAGTAAATATGGTATTTCTTCCATAAAACACGAACTAAAAATCATATAATGTGAGTCTACGGGAAAACAAGACTCAACTTGGGGACAATTTGACTTAGGGGCACTCTTGATGCACCAATTATGTCCGCATCTAGGGTTCTCACTGTAATTTATTTTTCCTGGGACCCCCTGTGCTTGAGTTTTGTGAGCTGAACATTGTTTGCTGAATTGAATAAAAAAAAAATATTCCGTGTTGAATCTTGCAGGTTGCGAATGTGGGTCCCGCGGATTACAACTGCGACGAAACCCTGGGCACTCTCCGCTACGCCAATCGCGCCAAAAACATCCAGAACCACGCCAAGATCAACGAAGACCCCAAAGACGCCCTCTTGCGTCAATTCCAAGAAGAAATCGAGGAACTTCGTCGTCGACTGCGAGATGCCGAGGATGTGGAAGAGGCCGGCGACGAGAGTCCCAGTGGGGATGAGGAAGACGAAGAAGGAGCAGGTGTTTCGAAGAAACGGTATAAACGAGGACTCGTGAAGGAGATTGAAGAGAAGATCGCGGCGGAGAAACGGAGGTTGGAGGAGAGCAAAGGGTTGGAGGAGCGGGAACGAGAAAGGGTTGCGAGAGAGCTGAAAGACCATGAGAAGGCCCTGGCTTCTGCCAAGTGAGATTTATTTTGTAAAATCTTTTTTTTTTTTCTTCCACGAGGATTGTAGTTTTAGCTGGAAGCGAGTAAGCTTATGTATGGTCAGTAAAGCCTTTTAACCCAACAAATTTCAATTTTGAAAAAGAAAAACAAAATCTTTTCATCTGTGCATCCTTTGGATCCTAGATAGATTTTTTAAAATTTATTCCGCATTCGGTATTCCGCGTTTTATGTTTATTTTTCAAATCACAAAGCAGAATAAATCCTCGAAAATTTTTCATCATCAAAAGTCATTTCCAAATTTTTAAATTATTTTCCAATTTTTTCATAGATTTTTTCTCGTTTAATCCAAACGTAACCATTTTTATAAATGTTGGAAATTTCGTGAAAAACTCGAAATCGAAGTGATCCTGGAGATCTTTCTTCTTGCTTTGTTTTTCTTTCTTCTATGGAAATCCGATTCTTTTCAAAAATGAAAACTCGATTTTCTCAATGTGTTCGTTAAAATTTAAACTTTTTTTGTTTTATGATACAGACGACAAATACTTGAAATTTCATTGAAGGTGACACGCATTCAAGTTGAGGTATCAATTAATGATAGTGTTTACCTTATATGTCTGCGTTGAAAAAACGCAAAAATTAAAATGTGAAAATTTCAAAACAATACTGTACATGACTCCCGTCACTGTATTTGTATAAAATACAAAAATAATTTTTATTCGTTCCACTTTCTCTCTGTTTGTCCCATCAGACAGGAAAGAAGCGATCTCATGACAAAATTGAAGTCTCTTCAGAAGAAGGTCATCGTGGGTGGCGAAAATCTGCTGGAAAAAGCAGAAGCGCAAGAAAAACTTCTGGAAGAATCTCAGAAAGAATTAGAAGATCGACAAAAGCACGAAGCAAGATTGAAGAAGGCTATTGAAGAGAAAGAGGTGAAGACATCTTCCAATCCGAAATAATGAATGACCATCGTTAATTATCGTTGGAATTCCTCCGTTTCACGGGAGACTTCTGAATGATCATAATTCTTTCTTCTTTTCATTTTTCGACGAATTCAAGGCTGAACGTTTGGATATGGAAGAAAAATATTCCAGTCTCCAAGAAGAGGCTGTTGGAAAAACCAAGAAAATCGCGAGATTGACGCAGCATCTCGCTGGGATTAAGGCGGAAGTCAAAGACGTCAGAGAAGATCATCAAAGAGAAATCGAGGGTTTGCTGGATAATGTACGACAATTGGCCAGGGAATTGCAATTGCAAAAGCTCGTCATTGACTCCTTCATACCACAGGAGTACCAAGTCAGTGCTTTGTTCAACGTTCTAATTCATTTGATCAGCGAAAGCAATCGCAAACCTTCTTGCAATTCACTTCTATGATGTCCTGTACATTTTTTATTCAAAATCGATCAGGAAATGCTTTTCCTTCTTTTCCTGCATCGGATGTTTTGAATTCAACCTCGCATGTTTCGCTAAAATGTCATCCAAGTGTCGCCTGAAACTCTAATCGAACCAAAAATACAACGTAACTGTGAACAATTTTGCTATCCTTGACTAAATTGATGAAACCTTATAAAAAATAAAGCATCCAATAAAACTCCAGACTGTTTCAACTCGAGTTAGGCATTGGATTAATCAAAGAACACAAGCATCGTGCTTGAAAATATTTATTTCGAATGACTTTGAAAAAATGTAAAGATTTACGTTTTCTTCTTTCAGAATATGGTGGACGAATACATCAACTGGAACGAGGATATCGGAGAATGGCAGCTGAAATGTGTGGCATATACTGGGAACAATATGCGGAAACTTTCTGTTGGCGATTCACCGGAAAAGAATAGAAGCAAGAACGCTGGTGTTCGTGTTGATTTTTCTAGTATTTTATCCCCAAACAAGATCGCTTGATGACCTGCAATTGTATTTATTTTTACAACTTAAAACGCTTATCGTGTGGACTTTTCGAGAATTTCAATTCTAAACCATGACCGACAAAATGGTGATGACTTTGTACGCCTCAGATGCGATTCAGATGCAATTTGATGATGCAAGTATTTGTTTGTCCCCTTCAAAAAATTACGGAGAAGTTCAAGGCCAGGAACTAGGGAAAAAATCGAAAAGGAACTGCCGAACATTTCTTTTTTATAGATCAACAGTAGAATCGTTAGTTTTTGGAGTCATGTCCTGTTCAAATCAGAGGAAGAGACGCATAGAAAGTCAAAGAGAAGAAATCTACGATGAGACTCAGTTTTATCACGAAACAGCTCTTGGTACTTTTTTTTAGAGTGAACCGAAGTGGTTGGGAAAAACTTGTTCTAGTACAATTCACTCGTGTGAACCAACGAGAATGTTAAGTCCTTCAGATAACTCAAGCATCGTGGTTATCTTCCAGTTTCCCATGTTTCACGAAAAAAATGTAAAAAATTTTTCAGAGCATTTGAAGTAAAGTTCGTCCTGTTTTTGAGTCGGAATCCTCCAAAAAATTGCGTCAATAACAAGGCGTAAAGAAATAATCTCGAGAATTATTTTCTCAACTGTATCTTTTGACTTGGGCAAGATCTCGCGTACCAATTGAAAATCTAGATTCAGCGTCACCAAAACTAAGAACATTTTTTTCACTTGGTCAAGTGTGCTTTAATAATGTCGCAGAGAGAATTTTGAACCAGCCCTTGAATATTCGTCCTTTTCTTTTGCGATCACAGTGGGACCCCGAGATGCGGACATCATTGGTGCTTGTACCTTGTCCCTATGTCGAATCACGTTTTCCTGTAGACTTCAATGGGAACACATTTAATTGGTTCACCGCTTCATAAAAAATTCGTAATACGCTCCCCGAAACATTAAATACAATTTTTTTCTCAACTTGAAGATGCAGAAAATGAATGTACAGAAGAAAACCACACAGAATCTGATCTTCTGGCATCAGGAAGAGTTTAAGAAGCAAAAAGCAAGAACAAGTCAGCACACATAATTGAAGAACTCTGAAAAAGGAAGCACAAAATTATCCTGTTCTTTTTGTTATTAAGGGTATTTTTGTTACGATTTTTTTTTATGTTTGTGAATATAAATGCGGTAGCTCAATTTCTTCCAGAAATATGAAAATAACATTTTTCAATCGTTACGTACATTTTGGAAAAGTGTCCATATCTAGAGCCACTGTCCAGATGTCGGGGGCAGATTTTTTTTTTTTTTTCAAGTGTCCCTAAGTCGAATCGTCCGTATTTTGGGGTCCCGCTATTCCTCGGAAGTTATTTTAATTTTCCTTCGTATCATTGTGTATTTATGTTTTCAGGCTGCAGCCGGAGAAACGAATCTGACCCACATGTATATTTCCTACGCCGAAGACGGGTTGAGAGTCCCGTTTAATCCAGACCGAAAGCAAAGACAAGACCGACCGAAGACGGCCGCCGGAAAACGACTGCTCAACTGACGAGTTCCGCCCATGAACGAAATGCCTTGATCTCACTGAATTAGTTTTTTTTTTTCGTTCCTAGTCATGAATGTGATACACTCTGCGAGAACTACTGTGACTTTGGTTTTTAAATGGATTTCGTCTTCAGTTCGTGTGTCGCTTTAAGATTCAATTTTTTTTTTTCATTGAAAGCTAGTGTCATGATAACCATCGTTGGGATTCACATTTTTTTTTATCAAGATTCTGGTAGGACTTGTAAGAAATGGTGCCTTTGACAAAGTGAAATGATTCTCCGCAGAACAAAAGACTCGCAACAAACATTGCAATTGCGAAATGTATCGGGGGGAAAAGTTACTCAAATGACGAAATTGTTCGACTTTGTCGTGGACAAAGTAAAATGAATCTCCGCAGAACAAAAGATTCACAATAGTAAAATTTGGCATTTCGATATATTTTTTAAGGGGAGAAAATGTGACTCAAATAACGAAATTGTTGAACGTAACACATTTTTTGGGAGGGGAGGGGAGAAAACGCTGAAATTTTATGAGATACAACTTCGAATTTTTTCAAAAGTGTGAATGGAAAAGGACATCAGCTGTTGAGTTTTGCCTCTTTTTGTCTTCAAGTTATGTTAAATTCAGAAAGTCAAGTGCTTGAACTTGCAAAGATTACCGTACTTGAATTTGAAACGCATCAATTAAAATTTCAGAACTTTATTTCGAAACTAATTAAATTACACAATTACGCTACACCAGCGTTTTAATTCAATTACACCAAGTACAGTATACTGTATTAACACGCTTTTGAGAGTGGTCTCAGTGATTCATCCCGCCAGGAACATCTCTTAAAAAGCTCGCTGAGCTTTTGGATTGAATGTAGTTTTGAGAATTTCCACGCGTTGGTTATCTTGATATTCCATTGATTGGTTTATTGAATTTTTTTGGATTTTGATAAGGGATTCAATTTATTGATGTCTTGCGATTTTTGATCAGGGTTTGTGCCGTGCGACTAAATCATGGGTCTGTGCAAGTGCCCGAAAAGAAAGGTGACGAACCAGTTCTGCTACGAGCATCGCGTCAACGTCTGCGAATACTGCATGGTTACGAACCATCCCCAGGTGAAAATTTTAATATTTTGTCAATATTTTGAAGGTTTTCATTCTGCGAGCGTTTATTTTTTTGTATGCTGTAAAATATTGCAAGCAGAATCCGGGTTGTTTCAAATGATCGGATCGTTCCGAAGAAGGCTTGTTTGAATTGTTTCCTGTCTTCTCATTATATTTTTAAAATTTTCTTGAAACCTAATTCCGTGATAAGGGATAACGAAAAAAAAAAATGTTGCCACAGCAGTACGTGTAACCGAGTGTCCCAAAAAACATATGTTGGTGATCTACAGTTCTAGACTATTCTAGACAGGGACTTGGAGCAGGGTAAAAAAAAATTTTGCTCCGCTCCGCTCCGCTCCGGACACAATCCCGTGCTCCGGGCTCCGGGCTGGTGCTCTGCTCCAGGGCTCCGGAGCTCCGGACTCTTTCCACCATAACAATAACATAATTTTTCATAATTTTCCTAATTTTTTTTTGCCATAACAATTTTTTCTTGGTCCCAGCACTTGTTCCACAGGAACAATGCTATGAAGATTTTATTTTTACAAACTAATTTTCATCAATAATCTCATTATATAGATTTTTAATTACTTATTTTTAAAATTTTCTTGAAACCTAATTCCGTGATAAGGGATAACGAAAAAAAAAAATGTTGCCACAGCAGTACGTGTAACCGAGTGTCCCAAAAAACATATGTTGGTGATCTACAGTTCTAGACTTTTCTAGAGTAATAATTGTTCCTCAGATGCGGCAATTTCAAACTCGTAAGAATTTCATGAATTATTATTTTTGTATTTTCCAAATTCGTTTGGAATGCGTCGAAAAAATTAGGCGGGTAGAGAAATTTTTGAATTGAATTTTCATTTTGTTTCAATTTTTGTTTTCTCTGGGCTGATTATGGAAATCGAACACCATTCGTATTCAAGAAAGCCCAAAATTTGTTTTAAATGTGTCGGAAAGTCCGTAGAATGAAGTTTGGTGGTAATTTTTCTTTTTTTTTGGACTCCGTCTAGAAATCGAATACCGTGCGTTATTCGAGAAGGTTTACGCTTGGTTTTGAATCTGGCGAACAAATTTTTTTTATAAATTGTCATATGTTCGTGATTTTTTTTCTTCTGACTGCGTATAGAAAATCGAACACCGTTCGTAGTCAAGAAAGTTCACGATTAGTTCTGAATATTTCGATTAGAATACAATTTTCATGTGGTTGTAAATTTTTTTTTGTGGACTTCGTATGGAAATCGAACACCTTTCGTATTTGAATAAATTCACAGCTCATATTTTCTTGCCTGCGTATTGACATTTAAAACTTGTTTTTATTAAAGAAGTTTCCCAATCTTTTTTGAGTACAATATTTTAATGAATTTTCAACTTGAAAAAATCATTTTTTGTGGTAATTTTTTTTCTGAATTGCGTATGGAAATCGAACACCTTTCGTATTTAAATAAATTCACAGCTCATTTTTTCTTGCCTGCGTAATGACATCGAACACTTTTTATATCCAAGAAGTTCCTCAATCATTTTTGAGTACAATATTTTGATAAATTTTCAACTCGAAGTATTCATTTTTTGAGGATTTTTTTCTCTGAAGTGTGTATGGAAATCGAACACCTTTCATATTTAAATAAATTCACAGATAATTTTTTCGTACCTGCGTATCTACATCTAAAAGTTTTTTTATTAAAGAAGTTTCCCAGTCTTTTTTGAGAACAATATTTTGATGATATTTCAGCTTGAAATAATCATTTTTTGTGGTAATTTTTTTCTCTCTGACTTGCATGTGGGAATCGAACACCTTTCGTATTTAAATAAATTCAAAGCTCATTTTTTCTTGCCTGAATATTGACGTCTAAAACTTTATTTAAAACTAATTAAAGAAGTTTCCCAATCTTTTTTGAGTACAATATTTTGATAAATTTTCAACTTGAAGTATTCATTTTTTGAGGAAATTTTATTTTTCTCTGAATTGCGTATGGAAATCGAACACCTTTCGTATCGAAATAAATTCATTTTTTCTTTTCTTTTCAGTGTATAGTGCAGTCCTACCTCCAATGGCTGGAGGACAACGACTACATTCCCGTCTGTGAACTTTGCAAAAAAGGATTGAACGCTGCTGGATGCATCCGTCTCATTTGCTATCGTGAGTGATACGTTCCGG